TTGATATATTATCTTAATTAAGGGACATAGTGAAGCTTTCATAATGCTTCCCGAGTTAGTTACCACATCGCTGTATGAACAAGCTTTTCCTAACGCTTTAGCACTGGCTTTTCACTTTGCAGTATACCTCATGTCAAATTCCAATAATCACATATGCGCTTTCCACCCTCGGTTGATGCTTCTCTTATTCCAGCTCACCCTTCACATTCCAGCGGTTTATGGTCAATCTCCGAGCCTTTTGAAATCTTCATCTAGCTTTATTTGCAATTTTCCAATTTTTCTGCTAATGCTGCAGAGTCGCGAATCATTCGCCTCAGTATATTTGCATCTTGATCTTTGTGTGCCGTTTTTTCCATATCTTCCTATCTCATTTCAGTGTCTGCATATTCCCTACTCACCTTTTACCCTAGATGGAGCTGAGGACCGATTTTAATTGCAACGAAAGCGCTTTTGATTGTGAATATGCTCAGTAATTCTCTGGTTATAGAAAATTATGACGAGTTCATTTTGGCTTGGAAGAATTTTCACTAAATGCAATGCAAATAGCATCGTTTCCCCCGGTTTTGATGTTTTGCATGTATAAGCGGTATTTCGCTTCTAAGTGCAAATTTATTATATTCCGTCGTATCTGAAGCTGCATATTATTGTTATAAGTTATGCGAAATATGATCTGAGTAGCCGTTGCTGTTACTGCTCGCTACAATATCGTTCTGTGCTCTTGTGTTCGAAAATTTCACCTCCCGCGTTCTCGGTATAACCAGTCTAATTTTCGTTCATTCATGTCAGCTCAGCACTGTGGTATGTAGTATAGGCATGAAAACCACTGTATATAAACGTGCGATGTTTCCCGCAAGGCCATGGCTTCTCCTAAACTAAGTGTTTACACGCCTAATATGGAGAGAAAATTTATGCTGAGCCTGACAAGACACATCTTCTTTTTTTTTCATAATCTGTTTGTGGACGATAGATTCGTTAGGAGCCGATGGCCACATCGCACTATCGTATATATATATTAGGTTGTCCCAAAAGTAAACTCCTTTTTTGAATAACTCAAGCTGTTTTTATTTTCCTATTATATTTAGGGCATCATTCGATAGAGCAGATCGCCTTTACCGAATTTTTACCGAGCACAAAAAACGAGAAGCAAAAATTGTCCAAAAATGGCAAACTCCGCCCCCAGCCCCTCCCATAAATGTCATCGTATACAACAAGCCTTTCTGAGTATAATTTCAAAACCTTACCCCTGCAGGTGCTCTCATAATCGAGAAATGCCAAATTTTACATAAAAAAACCTAGTGGCATTTTGGCATTTTGGGACCCTATTTGTTTCTCATGAGCTCCGGAAAAAATCCACCAAATACATTTTTGGGTACTACTATGTGTCTACTATATAAAGACCAAGTTGGAAGTCCGTAGGAATTTTTTCTGGAAGGAGATCCGATTTTTAGGGCAGTTGAAAAATTTTGATTTTTGGCTCCAAAATTTACCTAGGTTACAAATTAGGTGGAGCTTTGGTAGTCTTTTTGTAGAGCTTGCTGCGCTCTACCGAATAGTACCCTAAATCTGTCAAAAAAACCAAAACGGCTTAAGTTATTTGAAAATGGAGTTTACTTTTGGGACAACCTAATAATTGTGAAAGATGACGATAGTGCTACTCACTGAAAAACATACCACAAGGACCAGCTTTCAGCTGTATATAATTTGATTCAAAATTCACCTTAAAGGAAGAGCTGTGCAGCAGTAGGGAAAAATTCTTCTAGCGTCATGTTTAACAATAATACGGTTGCTTTTTTTGCAGAAAGCTGGGATGGTATTGTATATAACTTCATTGTGTCTAAACTCACCAGAGCATCTATTATTCCAAACTTACTCGAAAAATTTTACTATACGGAATCATGAAAAAGCTCCATTTGCATTCCTGTTGCGCCATCAACTTTGCACCCTCTTTACAGCTCTCTCATAGAATGCAAAAAACCATTGTTCCACATAGCGCACTCCATAAGGGCAACGTTTTGTTGGCTGTTAAACGACCGATTCACTAGTTTGACGAATGCATTCGCGCGGTGATGACAGCGCTGGCAGAATGTGCGCCTCCAGGGAATATAAGAGGTTTGAAGGCCGGCGCCGACGGATGGAGCGGAACGGAGGGTCCGGCTGACCGACTTCTCGGTCAGCCTCGCCCCTAGCCTAGCACCGGACAATTGTGCAGCCGGCCTGGTTCTCTTCATCAGCCCGTGCTTCACATTCGTCACTCCTTCAAGTCTCTTAGGCGCACCCGCAAATGCTATTATGGATATGTATGGAGATGCGCATACTACTCATTTTCCTTCTATCACATGTTCACTTCGTTTAGTCGCGCACGCTTAGGTTATGCCTGAGCATCAGTTCCTTCGCTATTTCGTCCAGACCAGAAGTTTCATGACATGGAAAACGGAGCTGAAGTCTATAGAACAGATTTATCTTAATCTCTGAGATTTTCCAACATTTAAAATCTCAGCCTCACGAAGATGAAATACGATGCTGTTCCTCTGCATCTTCTGTTCCTCTGTGGAATTTTTTGAATCTTAAATGTTTTCTTTGATAGTTTTCTTTTAATGGCAAGCTACAGGAATATTGTTCTCATGCTCTTTAATTGTTTAAAAAGTTCCTAGTGCATTGCATTTGCCATGTTTGTCTGCCATCTTTCTCTAACACAGAAACTTTGGTACTCGCCGTCTGTACTGATCCATCTCTTCAAAGGCAGGTGTCTCACCAAAATTTGGCTGTAAAGATTTTTGCAACACACAAATCTTTCCGACCCTGTCTAAACCTACTCAAGTTTGAATTCGCCTACCCCCCCCCCCCCGCCCTCTTTACCAAAGGCCCCGAGAAAACAGCAAGAATGAGTTGTACCTTCTCTCTAACCTCTGCCACAGTGGCAGCAACGCCATGAAGGTGGACGTCAGGTGGAAGTACGTGCTAAAACGCGTAAGGGGGAAACCGGAGAAGTCGGCCGTGAGGACCAAATCACTCGATGTGGACCACTCTGAGCGCATTTTGTTCAGTGTAGAAGGGATCAAATGAGGTCGAACTTGTTGCAATGGCCGATCTAATGGGCCTTAAAGTAGGATATTGGAAGGGCCGTCCTGCCTCAATTTGGGGACCTTTTGAATGCTAAGCTCATTTTTACGCTGTTACTTTCAAGTTCATGACTTTGCTGTTTTGCTGTTGTGCTTGCCACCAATGGCCCCTGCGATCCTCCCTGGTTTCTCTATTCATACATCTTCACATGTCGTAGTTTTTACTTTTCTATTGCAAATCAAATCTTCTTTCTCGTGAGCAACAGTGACTCTATGAAACGATTTACTATTCTCCATGCTATTCTTTCCGACCACAACATTTTCCATGAGTGTGAAGAAGTCGTGGAGTGGAGTGTGCCTTTTCAAGATTAGTTTGTCTCTTTTCGTTGATGTCGTTCGCTGGCAAATTAGTTGTGCTAATGGTCTCGTAAAGGCGATGGCCTCTGGTTTTCAGCTTTTCCTTCTTCACGGCTATCGTTCCACATACACTAATATAGATTTATCATTTTCAAAAGTTCTTCCTAGAAAGAACTCAGCTGATAGTTTGATCAGTTCATACCTAAACTGAGGACTGTGTTGCCTGGTTTTCTATAACGGAGAAAGCAGTTCAACACAACCACGCTATGCTTACAAGTAGAAAAGGACGAGCAAAATTCTGCTACTTACTACTACTGCTACTACAAAGAATAAAGTACCTTAAAATCCGTACAATAAGTCCGGACTTATCTGCAGTTTCGACGCGAAAAATCGATGAAAAAACGCCCTCTGCGCCGCTAAAAGTCTACCACATAAGTCCTCCTAAATCCACTATCAGATAAGTCCGCAGCAGATAAGTTCGCCTATCCTGAGCATGAGAAAGCGGACTTATCTCCAGGACTCTTGGCAGCGCGAGGGCGACTTTCATTGTCATGAAAGCGGACTTAACTGTTAGTTCCTTTGCGGACTTATCTGATAGGGCGGACTTATCTGAGAGGCGGACTTATTGTACGTATTTTAGGGTAGTATAAGTTGCATGACCACTGAAACCGCGGCTACCGCTATTCTGAAAGAAGCTCACAAGCTGTTCAAATATGACCGTTTTGCGAGTAGTTAGAAGAGCGCCTATATTATGATGAAGTTGGTTCAGGATACATGTATATGATTTTTACAATCAAAAAGTATCATTCTCAAAAGCACATTCTTTTGAGAGTGTTTGCAAGTTAAGCAATCAGTGTCAAAGTGACTCCTCTTCCCACCACGCTTCTTATTCGAACACCTCTCCAATTCTTTCTCATTCTTTCCCGTGGCCTTCAAAAAACTGTGGGTGCTGCTGTGTCGAAAGTTTTGCTGCGAGGAGCCGCTGCGCTTCTCAAGACTTCATAAAAGTAGATCCCAAAGCACCAAGCAAATTATAAATGTATGCGTAGAACTAGACCCAACGTGACCACCGTTAGTGATATATTCTGTGGAACAATTATTGTAAGCTGTTTAGAGTAAACAGGACTCGACACAAGCGCGGATTCAGACATTTTGTTTCTAACCATAAGTAACCTGCCAAAATAGCGGAATTTGCATTAAGCAACCGTAACTATGGCCCACACTCAGCAGTTCCTATATGACATATAGGCTCCTAAGCAATGTAGTGTATTTACATGTGTTGTTTCTGAGCCGTAAATACTCGCGAAAGACGTAAAATTTCGAGCAGAATTGTTTTAATATACATTTATCGCCGTTGCTTCGGACCTCGTACGAATTCACGACTGATTTGCCTCGACATGATTGCGGCTTGGCTCATGAGTATTTGGACTCACCAATCGGAATATATGAGTAGTTAGATGACGGAAAAAAGTAGCTAGGATTTGTGCTTTCTAGCTATGTATTTAAAAGTCACGAGCCGATAATGCTTCTTTTCTTTACACTTCTTAAGACACTTCCGACATTTTGATGTTTTCGCTAATATAAATGTGGTTGTATTCAAGCGAGACACTCATACTGAACGATGTGGTGTTAGTGATTTGATTTTCTATTTTTTTGTTATTTTTTCTTTCGCGCGAGTAACGTAATTGTTTGTGTCAAAATTACTTTGTGTTATTTGAAAGAATTCCAGCTTTCCGCTAGACCTCAACTCACCTCTGGTGCACCTATGTCACTTCTCTGAAGCCCCTTTACATACGATATGTATATGGTAAGCGATACTTGCTCTACTTGCACAAAAAAGTAGGGAGCGGGGTCTTAATTCAGATACATCACTTGAGTTTGTAGTCAACAAAAAATTTTGTCGATCGATGTGTCCAACAACAGAATGTACTGTCTCATGGAGAATGGAACGCTAATTCCAAATCTGCTTTCGTTATATGCAAAGCGCTTTTGGGAGTAGATTTATGGGAATTTTTAAGCAGAAGTTGAACGCGCGGGTACAAAATCATTCAAAACTGTAGTAGTTGAGCTCAAATGGGGCGATGATTAACACCATGGCGCTTCAGATTGATATCTTTAGCCTAATAAACTCATGATAGTCATTACTCCTTTCAAGTGCCGGGGACCTCCACGCCTGTTTTTACCTTAGCCAAACCTTGAGAAATTTCTGCTCAAAAAATTTCTCATAACTCTCCTCCCAGAAGCGCTTTGCAGATATTGAAAGGAGATTTGGAATCATCATCCCATCCTCTATAAGATGGTTTACATTTGATATAAAAACTACACGGTCATTTTATTTTGGTTGGGTGGGTCCGAAAGTTCCTGCCGTTTTTTGGACCTATTCTCAAGTCAATCAGAATAAAGACCGACAGACACTTTAGCAAGTATTCGATGCAGAATTTCTTCTTCTTTTCAGCAGTATGTTTTCGTTCGGATTCCTACGATGTTCGCTTCAAAAATCGTCAGAATCTTTAATCATGGTGTATAGCTACCCTAACTTTTGTCATTTTTCAAAATTTTCGCTCTGCACTACTGGAAACGCTTTAGTGACAGTTAGAGTAACAGAATGCAATGTAATACAATTTTTTGGCATCGATAACTGGCTTTTCAAGTTTTCTAATTATCATTTTGATGATACCAGATTTATTATTTGTTTATGCCAAACGTCGTTGTAGAACATCAGACGGCAAACAGGTAGGGTGTCATTCGATGCAGCTTCTCCTCCTCTTTTCGAAAAATGTTTTCTGATTTGTAAAGGTCTCAAGGAAAAAATTGCCTTTATTTTAGTTTTTTGTAATGTTTCGAGGCGGTAGAACATTCGTTTGCTAAAATTAGTGTTTAATCATAATCGATTTTTGGATGTTTTATATGCGAAGAATTCGTAGTTTGTATATTTGTTTGGAGCAAATTTTACCACTTTGCAAATGTGAAAACTTTTGAAGAACTTGTTTTCGAAAAGACCGAACAGCTAGCTATCAGTGCCAAAAATTGGGTTCTGTAGCATTTTGTTTACTCTATCCAACTGTTATCGCAGCTAAGGGCAGCGTCCGGGCAGAAACTAAAATTTAGAGTACAGGGCGCCCGTCCTGGTAAGGCTCTTGCCCAACTGGCAATGCCCAATTGCTTCTGAAGCGAGAAATCCGCTTCAGAAGTGGCGACTGCAACGCCCCGGCGACCGGGACGAGTTAGTTCGATAAGCCAGAGTGCGCATATACCGCACACAGTCAAGACGTAGGGTCCTACGAAGACTCTGCGTCTTAACCTTGGCGGCAGGCGACAAAATTCAATTCAAGAGCTTCTGGAAAAGCCCGTTTTCGGCGTTTTCATGCCCTCCAAGCTGCATTTTCAGAATCAGCGGGAGGAATAAGCCCAGGTAAGCGAAAAAAAATTCCATTCGAAATTTTGCCCGGACGCTGCCTTCAAGCTTTCCAAGCCCAAAATGAAAATCTCAGAATAGCTAAAGTTGAGTACGTAAAATGCATGGGTTAGAGATTGTGGCGATCATTCAAAATAATATCAATGGAATCCGAACAAAAGATTACTACTGAAAAGAGAAACAAATTTTAAATAGAGCAATGCTAGAATGTTTGTCTATCATATTTCTCAATGATTTGAGGATATGTCAAATAAAGGCACGAACTTTCGGACCCACCCAGTAATAAACCAATCTCAAGTTTTTTTTTTCAGAAGATTTGGCTATCTGCCCTTTATCTATATATACGTTTATTTACTTTTGTGAAGATTTTCCACTTCAATCCTATCTTATCTGTATATTACAATACAACATCTGCATGAAATGGCTTTTCGTCAATTGTTATAATCATGGCAGCGAAAAGCGCCCTAAGAGCAAAACGAATGTGCGTTCGCGGAGCGATAATTGAGTAATCGCAGCAGCTATTGTGACCAAATGCAAGTGTGCTTGCGTAAAGGTGGCTAAACAATTTGATTTTAGAATAGAGCGCTAATGAGCAAAATGTTCAGAACCAGATAGCAACACTTTGTGTTTTCAGTGCGGTTGAAATGCCGGTCCGCAAGAAGCATGGACCGTATGATATTATCGCAGATGACCTCTATGACTGCCGCATTCCTTTACATAACGAGCTTGCCTATCAGCACGGAATACATTTTGAAGCCAAGGTAAGTTTCGGAAATAGTCATTCACACGAAAGAGTGCAAGAGACGAATGGGAAGAAGATGCGGATTCTTGTTACCAAGTTCAGCGCGTTTTGAATATTGAATGGAATTCGAGTCATCATTGGCTCCAGTCAAGGGAAATGGTAGCTGGTAGCACTAAAAAACCTTATTAACCTTAGACTCCAAATCTCAAATCCCATTTCTTAAGCGACAACGTAAACGTGCAACATATCAGGAACGTGTTCTTACAATTAGCAGGGTCAAGCGTGGGGTGTGGCTTGCCACACCTAGAGGTCATATTGAGGGGTCAGAGAGGAGGGGATCCTAATCGAAGTGGAATGGTGCTTACGAAAACGTAATATTGTTATAAGTATGTCAGATAATCCCGTTATGCAAATACAAGTTTACTGAGATTCTGACCTTTCACCCAAACCTACCGTAACCACACGAAAAAGAGACCCCCCCAAGCATGATGAGTTAACAGTTCCGTAACTGGCGTGCCAAATAACGCCTTGCCAAGTTCAGTGGATTTTGAGGTTCAAATACTGGACTAGGCTAATATAGTGGGCTATATTAGGCTATATCGGGATATACTGGGCTAATATACTAATACTGAATACTGAATACTAATACTGAATACTGCCAAAACGGTCATTATCTAATATGATGATCTTTGTCTCAGAGGTATGGCTCGGTAAAATTGCAACTGCAAGCTTCCCCTACATAGCCTTCTGGATCCGCTGAGCAGAAGTGCGATGGGGGGAGCCGGACCCACCAAAAGTGAAGGTGGTCCCAGCTACCACTGGCCGGCCAGAAGTGAAGGTGGTAGTGCCGGACACGCACCTCACAAAAACGTCGACGGGGGGGGGGGGGGGGAACGTTAACGTCGATTGAGCCTATCCTTCCAAGTCGTTGCCGCCAGTGCGTGGAAAATAAGCAAAACAAACGCAAAAAAGATTATTGAAAACATATTTTTATGCATATGGAGGCATGTATATTTAAAATAAACGTGCTTAGTAAATGATGTATTCTGAAGTGAAACTCAGCGAAACTTTACAGATTTTCTTAAGTAAATTTTGTTATAACGTACTGCGAAGAAAGTAGATCGATCCAGGCAGTAACGGCCGAGAACCAGATCGAATGATAAAATAACGATAGATTATGCGAAATTTCCACTGTTATAAATCTGTTGTTTAAAGATGTCAGCAGTTGCGACTTCATAGATTTTAAGAGTAAATGGTGCTCTATCAGATAGTGAAAAAGTTCGCTTGAGAAGTGGTCGTCGAAAACCAGAATTCTAAAAATTTACGCCATTTTTGCGTGTTTATTGACAGCTGACAGTTAAACTCATATAAATCTCGAATGCGAAAGTGTGTAATGTTGCGACTTTATAGGTTTTATAGTGTAAAGTTTGCCTTATCAGAATATATCTTAGCCATACCAATTTATTGAGATACCGCGATTCAGGCTCTGAAAAAAACAGGTGAAAAACCGCTTTTTGAACTTCAACAGCTCATAACTTCTTCAGAACTGCATGAATCATATTGCGACTTCATAGGTTAGATTCTACTCATCAAGAGCTTTCAGAAAATTTATAATATGTGGGGATTTAGGGCCTCCTACGAATTATGCCCTGGGGGGAGACTTTTCATAACAAAGTCTCCCCCTAGCCCACTTTAATGTATTGGAGGGAGGCCGCCAGGGGAGACTTTGTGATGAAAAGTCTCCTCCCCCGGGCATAATTCGTAGGAGCCCCAAACCCCCCATATTGTATATCATCTGAAAGCTCTTGATGAGTGGAATCTAACCTATGAAGTCGCAATATGATTCATGCAGTTCTGAAGAAGTTATGAGCTGTTGAAGTTCAAAAAGCGATTTTTTACCTTCTTCAAGAGCCTGAATCTCAGCAGTATCTCAATAAATTAGTACGGCTAAGATATATTCTGATAAGGCAAACTTTACTCTATAGAACCAATAAAGTCGCAACATTACACACTTTCGCATTCGAGATTTATATGAGTTTAACTGTCAGCTGTCAATAAACACGCAAAAATGGCGTAAATTTTTAGAATTCTGGTTTTCGACGACCACTTCTCAAGTCGAACTGACTTTTTCACTATCTGATAGAGCACCATTTACTCTTAAAACCTATGAAGTCGCAACTGCTGAACTTCAAAAAACAGATTTATAACAGTGGAAATTTCGCATAATTTATCTGTTTATCATTCGAAATTCTGGTTCTCGGCCGTTACTGCTTGGATCGACCTACTTTCTTCGCAGTACGTTATGACAAAATTCACTTAATAAAATTGGACAGTCACGCTGAGTTTCACTTCAAAACACAACATTTACTAAGCACGTTTATTTTGAATATATATGCCGCCGTATGCATAAAAATATGCTTTCAATAATCTTTTTTGCGTTTGTTTTGCTTATTTTCCACGCACTGGCGGCAACGACTTGGAAGGATAGGCTCAGTCGCCGTTAACGTCCCCCCCCCCCCGTCGACGTTTTTGGGAGGTGCGTGTCCGGCACTACCACCTTCACTTCTGTCCGGCCAGTGGTAGCTGGGACCACTTTAAACTTTTGGTGGTTCCGGCTCCCCCCATCGCACCTCTGAACGTAGAGCTGGAAGAACTGTAGTTAGCATCGAAAAGGTGAGCACATAGGTTCTAATTAGCAAGATGGTCTGTAGCCTCTCTCAATGGTCCTAATGCGCCCATGCTTCTGCTATATTCGTCCTTCATATCGTTGTTCATTTGATGGTGCGCCCTAGGTAAACGTAGGATGTGAATTCCTCTACAGGTGATCCATCCAAGTGCAACTGGCCTTCATTGCACCAGCTGACTTCATGAACTGCGTCTTCGTCTGATTGATTCTGAGCCCTATCCTTTTCCCGCTTTAATTCAACTCGTTCAACATCTTTTTGGTTTTGTTAACGGATTTCGAGAATGAAACGCGAAACGGAGATTCGGAAGGTATCGTCCATCCATTCGTACCACTTCTCATATCAATCGAGAGATTGCATGCACCATTGCAATTCGGCTATGAACAGCTTCGGCGACAAAATGTCGCCTTGAAGGACTCCTTTTCCAATGTGGATGTGGAGCGGGTGGTCGAACAGCTGTACCGTTGTGGTGCATCCTCTTGCAGTCCGCCACTGTTTTTATGTGAGTTTATTGTAGGGTCACTCCTTGTTCAGTCAAATCTCTCAAAACGGCGTTGATTTCCACGTTGTCGAAAGCCTTTTCGTAGTCGATAAAGGTGAGGATTAGGCAGCTGGTATTCCCGACAGACCTCCACGACCCTTGTGACGGCTTGGATGTGATCGATGCAGCTGAATCCTATACGGAATCCGGCCTGTTCAGATGGTTGCGCTTCATCCAACATCGTCGAGATAGGCGACATGATGATCTTTGTGAACGGCTTGTAAAGCGCACTTAACAAGTTGTTCGGTCGGTAATTCTTCAGGTCATGTGTCCCGCCTTTCTTGTGTAGGAAATCGCGCCGGACGTCTTTCAGTTGGGTGTCGTTTCCTTCCTCAGATAATCAATCGTATGAGCTGCCAGTAGACTGTGCAGCTTGTGACCGCCGGCTCTCAATAAATTGGCGGTGATTCCATCCGGACCAGCAGCTGTGTCTGGTTTCATGCACGATATGGGTGCGCGTACTTCTGAAGGAAGGATCCTTGGCGTTGTACGTCAGTAGTGGCAGGATCTGGTACTACCATCGTGGACAGAAAGAGTTTGCTGTAGAAATCTTCCGTTATCGCTTCCATTTCGCGCCGGGAGTGTACTAATCTTTCGTCTTTCTTAGTAAAGCCCGTACCGGTAATTCGTGTTCGCGTAGATCTCCTCGACATCTTTTTAGAATTTTCCTGTTCTGTGCTGTTTCGAGTAACTTCATCTGTCTATATAGTTTCAGATCCTCTTGCACGGTTTTTCTGCAAATGTTGTTAAAGAGCACTTGCTTCATGTGCCTGGATCTGCGTGCAGGCTTCTCCTTTTCTGTAGAAGTTCCTTGTTGGTGTTCGTCAAGCATCCACTACCTCTTTCCACGGAGGGCTGTCTGCTCAGCACGGTTGCGTAGTCTTTCGATCAGCTTTCCTAGATCTTCTGTTGGATCAACGCGTTCCTTCCAGTCGTATCTGGCCCAAATTTCCCAATTCTGTCATCTTCTTAGACTTGCGTTTGTCCTATTCTTGCGAATTCGCCGACGATAAACTTATAAAACGATTTCTCCTCTTAGATGGCGTCTCCAAGCTCCTCGTAGAACATGTCGAGCTCGCTTTCACCTGCTGCCTCTCTGGGTGAGTAACAGTTGATGATACTTATCTTCCTCTGACGGAAAGCATTAAGGAACACTGCTAGTCGTAGTGACAGATCATAAGAGTCGACGAGGTGGCTAACGGATGGGTGTATTGCAAATCCTACGCCTCCAATGTTTCGCGTTGGAACCTTCTCTTCTAGTATGACAAGGGCTCCATAATCCCTTTTGAGTGTAGCCGAGCTTCCTTTTTCTTGGTTTCCTGTAGTGCAATTACGTCGTATTTGATGCGAGTTGCTACGTCTAGGAGAACATAAACCTCATGGGCTGAGGATAGCGTTCTTGCATTGTAAGTGCAGAGTCGAAAACAGCCTCCATGTATAGTCCATGTATTGTATTGTATCATTTTGTTGCCGAAAGGATCTTTAGACGTCTCGCTTTTGGCCCCAAGATTTCTTCCCTCTCAGGTCGTACTGCCATCCGACGTCCCAAGCGGTAGACGAACATGAATACTGCTTTAGTTGACAAAGCTATTAAAATTTCCCGCCATACCCTAGATTGCCAAACTGGGTCGTATTGGGGCTGTGCCGAAGCAGTCGCCGCTCCTTGGTGACACTACGATTTTTATCTCCTCAAGACTTCGCTAACGTTGTTAGGTATGTTGGCAGTGGACCCTGACTTGATGACCTGGGGTGGTCTGCTTTAACGCTCACGACAATACGACCCACCGGTGGGTCGTGCGTGTCTTGCTATTTCGGGCAATATGACCGAACGGTGAGTCGTAGGTTTTCTAAAGTTTATGATTTTGCTAGTTCACGGTGAAATTTTTTAGGCAAACCGAATAAACTTCTGTATACACTTCTTGGAGCCTTCCCAGAAGATTAGCACTTCAGATCACAAAACCCACCAGTGACCTGAAAATATTGCGCAAACTCAATTTTGCGAAGTATGCTCTGGTCCAAAATGGCAGTCATCCAAAAATCGGCCCTGTTGTGAATGTGTTACTTGGGTTGACGCGTGAGTCCGAACCTTTTTGCTACACCCAGGGGCACCCCCTTGCCACGTCGAGGCAGCAGACCATAAGGGGATTTATCTATATTACCGAATTATAATCGCTAAAATCACAATCATTGAAAATAAAAAAAAAGATAAACGAGATTCTCACGGTGCAATTCCACAGTTTGGTTTTTTTTGAAATAGGATCTCCGGTGTGTGCTAAGGAGAAGCAGTTCCTTGTTAGGAGTGCAAAGAAGTTACTTAACTTACCTTCAGGGCAAAGGTAACCGGCAAAGGTATGTTCGAAAATGACCGTTTTGGCAGAGTGGCTTAGTTATTGAAAACCACGGAATTCGCTGATTGGTCCAACGGGATTGTTTGACATGCCATTAGGTTGGTACAAAAATAGAGCGTTTTGCGAGTTCCCACTTTTCTGTGCTCCAGCTTTCTAGATAATCATATTTTTGAATGCTGTAAAGACCATCAGAGACACCAAACCTATCACGGCACGGCGCACATCCAAATATATTCATATCTCAAAAGGGCAGAACGACTTGGATTGATAAACAGAAAAGTTCTCTTGCATAACTCCCTTCAAAGTTTGTTAGCACAGATAGCAAGTAGCCTTCCTGGTAGTCGCAGGCTAGTAGTACAGAAGAAGATAAAAGGGCTTGGGCAAGAAGTTTTGCGAAGAGAAAAAAAAATTGAATTCAGAAATTATCTGTTTTTTACAAACTTTTTTCATAGGACTCAAAGCTCCGAATCATGGAGTTTTTCTAGTTTCGTAGTGAACACCAAACGTTTTTGCAAAAACTGTCGACAGGAGGCCCACCCTTACGCTTAGAAATGAGCAAAGGTTTGACGATCGCCGGTTGCCAGCTTACTCTCATATAAGATTAGATTTTCACTATTTTCCTTGGGGATTACTAGGGGATCACTTCTCATTTTCAAAGTCATTTGTCTTCCTGAAAAGTCAATGAAAACGCTGCAAAACTGTACTGAAGGTATACTACGGCACTACTAAACATATTTTCGATTAGGGAAATGGAATCTGAAGATTTTTGATAATCTCTAGCTCGCGAGCAGTGGTCCAAGAATTTTTCCTTATCCTGAAATTTCACCTATTTTTGCTATAAACATGTTAAGCAGTGCCATATACCCTCAGCACAATTTTACGAAGTTTTCATTAGCTTATTGAAAGATAAATGACTTTGAAAATGAGAGGTGATCCCCTGGGGATCCCCAGGGGATCAGGCAAAATAGTGAAAATCTTTGTACCCTGGCAACCATTATGTGCAGGTATCAGGGTGTGAGAAATTTCATAACCCAGATGGAGAAAAAGAAGAATATACCAAGAGTAGCGGGATATGACACGTCCTTTCCCAGATCCCCTCCCCTCCCCGCGAGGATGTACATACGGGCCTAAGAAAATATATAAGGGGCATAATCTAGATACTTTCTGTTACACATAGTAGCCGAATTACCAAAACAATGCCATCATTTGCGCTTAAGTTCAGGCCAGAAAAGTTAATCCATTAAAGGGTTTGATTGCGGTTATTTGAAGCTCTGTAAATATTTAACGATTGAAGTTGAAAGCTGTCTTAACTATAATTAGAATAAGCACGAAAAGAGCTTTTTGATAGTATGATAAGCCTTTATCACGGAGACGTCTTCTTACGTGTATCTCGGACGTTCGATGAACATGGAGAACGACTTGAGGGAAGAACTTAACAGGAGAAGAAGAGCAGCCTGGGCCGCCTTCGGGCCTCTGAAGGAAGCCACCGACCAACTGACGGACCCGGAGCTTCGTGCCCACCTGTTCGACTCAACCGTTCTCCCGGCGCTCTGTTACGCAGCTAAGACTTGGGCTGACACCGTCGCCACTTCGAAAGCTTTAAGGACCACCCACAGAGCGCTAGAGCGTAGTCTTCTGAAGATGACCCGACACAAACAACATCTCGTCGGACTTCGCAGTACGGATCTGAGGAGAATGTCCCATCTTCGTGACCCAGCGGATTACGTTGCGAAAGCGAAGCATCGATGGGCCGGTCACATCATGAGAAGAACAGACGACAGATGGACGCTCAGAACATCGGAGTGGATTCCTCGCGAAGCAAAACGTCCCCGAGGAAGACCACCAACGAGATGGGCAGACGTGTTCGTGGAACGGATGGACCAGCTGAGAAATCAGCTGGATACGATTTTTGCACCTGGAACTCGTGGACGCAGCCACCGACGTCAGCCAAGAAGATCGTGGATGTCAGAAGCGAGGGACAGGGAGAAATGGAAACTTCTGAGCTGGGACCCGCACGTCACGTGAAGCCGGGCCATCTAAGTATCTAAGTAATTAAGATAAGCCTTTTCCAAACAAGAAGGCTTGATAGAAAAAAGCTGGGGTGCGGGAAGTTTCCCACCTGAGCATAAAAATAATTTCTGGTCGAGAAGAGTGACTACCCGATTCTCCTCAAATTAATATTTCTAGAGAGACATTCACGCATTCATGCATACATGTACTGTAACACACAAACCTTCAAAACCGATCGAATTTTTTGGAGCCTTGCGGACTCACAAAGATCTTTGAGCTTCAATTATAGCACATACAACTTGAAGCATTCTACACTCTTATGGCACACACTTACAGGAAGAAACATCCTACATTTCTTTTTCTAAAGGCATGTATAAGTAATGGATACACACTATCAGAAGAATTAATTGTGGGATGTTAAGGATTTCGCACTAACGGCAGCAAAAGAGAAGTTATGTCTGATTTGATGAAATTTGGACTGAATCATAATTCTCCTTTTTTTCGCTGTCCACGAAACAAGGTCTAGATGATAGTTCAGTGTGAAAAATTGTACACGTCATTGTTCCTTATTGAGAATACCTGTATTAAAAATTGCGCACAATAACTCAGTTGTAACTATGCCGAATGAGTTATATGTACGTACTTCTTCATCGTATCAGTTGATGTTTTATAATGGGCCATTCAGGAGTTTTCATTTTCTCTATCTCGTGCAAGAATGTCTTGCTTTTGTAATTTTGTGACAAAGGGGATATTGGCGCATGCTGTCTAGTCTCTTTCACGAGATTAAAGGCAGTGGCTCTGGAAGATTGCAACTTCGCGCTTTTTATTCACTCTTGATCCTCTAGATGCGTTTAGACCAGAGCTGTGCTTGAAAAGTCAAAAAAGTGCTTTTTATGGCGTTTTCCGCCGTTGGCGATTGCTGAGGAGGCTGGAGCGGAGAATCTCGCCAAAAACAGTGACTGGCTGCAGGAGACTGTAACACATTTTGGCGTAATTGGCTGAGCGCAGGCAGCCAATCCCGATCGGTGGGCGGGATTCTCCGCTCCAGCCTCTTCAGCAATCTCCAGAACCAGCGAATGTCATAAAAAGCACTTTTTTGACTTTTCAAGCACACCTCTGGTCTAAACGCATACAGAAGGCCAAGAAGGAACAGAAAGCGCGCTGTTGCAATTTTCCCGAGCCACTGCCTTTAATGGATATACGCGCTCAGCATGTACAGTTTTGAGGCTTCAACTATAGTTGTGCTTCATTGCAGCCCTTCATCGTGATAAATCACAATTGCAACTGTGCCATATGGAGGGAATCTTCTACTTGAATATTTTCTGCGCACGTCACAAAGCCAGCATATGAGTAGCGTTGGAGCGGTGTTTGGAATGTCAGATGACATTTTGCACGTAATTTTTACGAATAGGAATTGACTAAAAATTGAAAGAAAAAACTGACTTTTCGTTTTTCCAGGTCTGATAATAAACGGCACTCTTTCCTTCTAATTTCACCATCCATGTTTCTGCTGAAATTCTTTTTTACCCCCTCCCCTCCCCTTTCTACCTTAGCTGTATTCGTATTGCAAGCATCATAGCGTGTCTATTGCTCGTTTCGTCACTAAGTCTAATAATGTGTTGGATGAAAATTTCTTATTATTCTGGTTTACAAAGGCAAGTGACGGATTCTTAAATCTGCAGCTTTTCGCCACAAATAGTCAACTTTGTCCCTTCATAACGTAAATACAATTCTAAAGTTTATTAAATTCTTTTTGCTATTACGTAGAAACACTTTTCTCGAAGCAAAGGCACATAAACTTTGGCAATTTTGGATTACTCGAATGGTGCCAGTCTTCAGGCAAATCGAAAATAGACACTTGAGTTGCGCAGGATACAATGCCCAAAATTCAGTCCGTGTCACCTTTTCTGTACATTTCGTCCAGATTCATTTGTGTAGTCGTGGCATGTTGCATACTTAAGACTGGCAAGAGGAGATATCGCTTTTAGGCGTGAAAGGTAAATAAATAGAATTGTTATAGCCATGATGGATCCATGGTTGGACATATAGAAATAAATATCCGGTTACACACAGTTTGCCAAAAACAGTTGTACTCAAGAAAGACCAGTCCCATTTTGGGCTGAACTACCGTACCTCAACTGGCTAATCTCAGCTTTTCTCTTATAATGTTGAACTTTCAATAATGCGAGGTAGTGCGAATATTTGTCTCTATCATTTCGACCTATCCCACAGTGAGTTTGCCATCTTTTCATAGAAAACCACTGGTTAATGAAGTTCTAAAAATCGGAGACATTAGCAAGACATTGGCTCATGCACTTTCAGTACGTGGGTAGTATGGAGATTCCGCGACCTGGCACCCGAATCGAGATTGTCGCCGCTATGCGACGAGTTAGGGTCGGCAATTCTTAAAAGTTTTTTGTTTGGAGATCTTTAGAAAAGTCTAAAATTTCAGTATGAGTTCAAGGCGAGAGGTATTAAAAAGCGGCCGGTGGATATTACGGTATCTGTGGATGGCGTCAAGGTTGTGCTGCAACGGAAAAAGGTGACTGGCACGCTGATAGTAGAATGAATTCAACGCAGTTCTCTTCAGCAGAAGCAGAAGGGCCTCTCGTGGGACGAATCCAAACTGCTTGTGATGTTTCATCCCATTTATAGGTATGTGCGGTTTTGATGCTTTTCGTATCAAATGAGGCAGAGTTTTTGTTAAATATTACAGGATATTCTACGTGTCGCACGATTCTCAGGATCTTCAGATTTTCTCTTATATCGCTCGCGATGGCGCTAGCAATACTTTCAAGTGCAATGTGTTCAAATGTTCAAAAAAGGTAAGAAGTGAATGCTAGCAGCAGCGTTTTGCGCGCATCGATCTTTAAAGATAATCGATCGATTTATCGAGCAATCAAATGGGAAAGAACCCCATTTTGGGTGAGGTTAGATGGCAGTTTTAACACATTCACGCAATACGACCTACCGTTAGGTCGTAAGATTTCTGAAGCTCTAGGTTTGCCAGTTTACGATGGAATTTTACGGAATTCTGGCACATGATATTGGGGACACCTAGGCGAAGCTCCAGCTTTAGTGGTTCGGGCTCGGGATACCGTAATCTAATGTTACGGTGGGTATATTGTAGACAACGATAAAGCACAGACTTTAGCTCAAATCATTTGCAGAATGAGCTGTTTCTGAAAATTCATGTGTACATGCAGGAGAAATACGGGGAGAGCAAGAGACTGATGTGAGCCCGACAAAACATTATTGATTTTATTGATTTTATTGTTGTTGCTTTTTTTGCATTGTTCGTCTCAGGAAGACCAAATCTTACATATACATATTTTGTAGCTTGCCAATTACGAAATGATAGTCCCAAGTTCTAGTACCGCTTTTTCCACCAGTTTCTTGATTTTCACGAAAATTCTACCGTACTGCTGTCGTAGCCCCACTATGGGAGAGTGATAAACAAAGTGGACACTGTAATCGTGATCAGCACGTGAAATAGTCCCGAAGCACAATTTTTCTTGAAAATCTATGTTGCTGGGTTCGTACAGAATGACTACTGTAACCTGACCGAATAAGGCCAAAAAGTCAATCAAATCATATTTTGACATTCAGCGCCTTCGGCAACCCTTCTGAGAAAATTGTCGGAGCATGTTTTGAATTTTCTAAAACATTTCGGACAATACGACCCACGGGTGCGTCGTAAGTTTGACACGAAAAAGGCTCTGGCCCGAAACGGCAGTAATTGAAAAATCGGTCTTGTCGTAAATGTGTTGCATGAGCCCTTTTACTCATTTGTCTTACGACGCCAAAGAAGGATACTGTATCTTTCAAGTGCGTACGCGAAGTTGCGATTGGTTGGTCTGATGAGGACAGCGATCGTTTTACCCAAAATCGATCTTAGAATTAGAATCTTTTCACAAATGCTGTACGTGCAACCAGTTTCGGACACCGAAATCCACTCTTGGTTTTCTTCTATCTATGTACCGAAGGAACCTCAAAGCAAAATAATTATTCATACTGAGGGTGCATTTTACATTTTCGTAAGTTGCATTCATTTTGTAGTAAAGCGATAGTTTTACTAGTGCAACCATAACATTCTCATGCAGAAGTGGTTTCTGAGGTCAGTGAAAGGAGGTAGTTAGATTTTCACACAGATCGCTGTGTATCGCTTTTAGTGGTTTATAGAATATAAATTAAGTTAGAATATAATGATGACGATTGTAATATTGATTCCTTGGATATTTACTGATTTCGCCAGCGTCGTGTGTTTTGCGAGGCAAAGTGTAGCATCCGAAAACCAAGTCGTTCAGAAAAAAAAAATCCACGTCTGTCAGACGAGAGTTAATGAACACTCTGAAGGCGTATCTATCGCTAAGAGCTCAGTTCATAATTGATGTAGCCCTGCGGTCAGCGGAGGTACTCGGAGTCGATTTCTCTTTTTCACGACAGGAACCCCCGTCAATAATAATTAGAAACAGTTGGCAGTGTGAGATCGATGGCGAGAGCGATCTAGATAAGCAACGGAAGAGGCCTTCTTTCCGCTCCAGCATGCGCTTCAAAATTTCTTTAGTCGTAGGTCAGGGCAAGCCTCTAGCTTTGGCTACCTACGAATGTAGTCGGTGACGAAGAAAAATTTGAGGGTTTAAGCAGATGTGAAACGATGCACATCTGCAATTGTTTAGTGTTCTTTACGTAGCGAATACAGTTTCTTCGCGACAACGCCGACCTGCATAGACGCCTCACCGCTGAGAGAGAGAGAGAGAGAGAGAGAGAGAGAGAGAAGAGGAGATATTCCTCACAGAGGAAGTTCCTTTGCAAACACTTTGCATTGAGGTTTCGGAGGGCGCTTACGTCATTTCGCATTACAACGCGCTGCCGAAAACGAGAAAAACTTGGCATTGCATGTGGTCGAGACATATGTGGGAGCAATTCAAAAGTCAGTGAATTTTTGCCTCTTCAGCACTCGATGCTACCAAGATGAATGAGTATGGAATTGCTAAAAACAGGTGCTGTTCGCAACAGCTAAATAATCTAAGTCCCGCAATAATACGCATCAATAAAAGCTGTGTAATCGCAGCACAAAAGAAAGTTATGAAGAAAGCGTGCGATCAGGTGCTAAGTTGACAGATGAAAATAGTCAAGATAAATTTAACCTTTGCATGAGTTTGGGTATGCCATCTTAGATTCTAATTTCAGTCTGAGCCCAAGAGCTGGCAAGTTGCTTACTCGTCGAGCAAAGAGAAGATGCCACTCAGCTTTTTTGAATTTTGATTGGATCACTAAATCACGTACGGATAGCAGCGAAAATAATGGATGCAGATAAACACTTGCAGTTGGATATAAAGTTCTATTAGAAAAATTGCGCAACTTTCTCATCCAAACGAGTGCGAATGGAGAAGCTACACATGCCATGGTATTTGAATCGTAAATTGCTGCTAATAAGCGAACGATGAAATGAGCTGGCTGGTGAAGAAAGAAAATCATGGTGGGAGGGTATATTTCAAGCTTCGAAGTTTATGCGAGGCGCTTGATAAAAGTGCTGTAGTCCCTTCAAGACCTTTCCGAGGTTCGCTAGGCTCCCAACTTCACGCAAGCGACTCAGTGCATACGGCAGAGCACTGTGTGAGCCGGTGGTCCTGGCCGGCTCAGCAACTCGCTGGTTGGTGCGGTAAAAAAGTATCGGATCTGCTCTTATTTTAGATCTATCGTGTTACCTTGCCGCTGCTGCGAATCGTCCGTATCGCGTCCAGGCTCCTCTCGATTCGACGTGCTTCTAGGCAGCTTGGCAATCCGGGGTCTCCTCGGTGGTTGTGATCCCCTGCGGCATCGTTCGTTTCTCTGCGTCCCTGCCGTCAGCTGCCGTAGAGACATCGCACGACATCCTCCTATACTACATGCGCCAGCAGTCGGACCTCACTTGATTGCCAACAATTACTGATTTCCTATCCAATTCCGCATCAATCGATTGATCCGAATCGATCACGAACCGAGATTAGGCTTCCAAATCGGCTCCACTCCACTCGCTACCGTGTTCACCCTCTTCCTAGCGACGAGGACGAAAGTATTGCGATCGATTAATCGCCTTCAGCAGAACGCAACTCTGGCGCACGGAATGCGTATTCGTGGTGCTGTATGCTACGACTGTTGAAGCCACGACATCAAAATGATCAGATTCGATCCGGACGAAGACGACGACATGAGCGAAGAGAAGCGCTTCTACTACTTGAGGCTCATGGCCAAACCTGGTCGTAAACCGATCAAGACCAAATTCGTTACTTGGTCGCCAGAACAGCAAAGTAGTAGTCGTGACGAGGATCCGGTGCTCGAGGTAGTCACGCATGCGTTTATCGTTTTCCTATGATTTTCTTGAGATTTCTCCACATATCGCATGGAATATGAGAATTCTTAGAAAACGTTTCTTTATAAAAAGATTGTTTTCGCTAGAAGCTTCCTAGTTTGCAATCCAGCATATAAGGTATTTTACACTAGAAGGGGACCTTACAGAGCTATAAGAATGGGTGTGGATGCTACAAACTTGAGAAGTGTCTAGCTCTTACCAAAAATTTTGTAATAGTTAGAGACTTTACTTCCTAAGTTCCGGATCTTTTCATCTAGCTCTCTTATAAGCTTCTCTATTTCTTCTCTCATTTTTAGAATTTCTTTTATTATGAATCTCCATATGAAGAAGCAACTTATTCACCTTTGTGATCGGCATCCCTTCTCACTGTCCGTCAAAGTCGACTGCTGGTGCTCATTTGAGTGCTATGAGCTTAAACTGCAAAGCGGTGACCATCACTGCGATCAAGCTGTAACAATTATTAAAGGGTTGCATCTCATTATCTCTGTAGGATAGTATGAGTAGAAGAGTTTCGGTAATTCGTGCCGTCAGTCTCACCGGTTCCAGCAATATTAAAGTGGAATGCTGGACAGTTACTTTAGCTAAAAGAATTTTAAAAGCTTCTCCATGATTTGGAAGCCTCCGAAGCGAGCGCTCCGCTCAAAAGATCTTTGAGCCCAACTTATTCATTGCTAATACTGATGCAATACCACATTCAGAGTCAAGCGATGCGGGTGGTCCGTACGATAGGACAAGCGTTTGAGGTATGCCACAAAGTGGCACAAGAACAAATGCTGGAAAAACATGAAGATGAAGCAGCTAAAAGCAAAGGTGATTTGGTCCTAAACCTTTCGCTCAGTCACAACCTTTGTTTGAAAATAGCTTAGGCTTTGCTTCAATCTTGGAGCGTCGATGACGTACTGATTCAAGCAAAACTAATACTTTTAAGCTTCACTGGCCAGCGAAGACGATGCGGGTGCTCCTTTAGATGTAATTGAAGAACGAGGTGCTGCTGAAGAAAGCAGCAGGAGTCAGAGTCCAGCTGAACCATCCACCGGTGGTCCCCTGTACGGACGGCGTCTGTCACTGGTGAGTTGCTTGCATTCACACTTTTGTACCCACGATCCTAATGTATTATATTTGACTTATGGCTTATGCCCAATTTTTCTATCTGGATTGGTGAATTACCGAAATCATCTTTCCTGAAAGAGCTTCATAAAAAACATCTTTGCTGTAACATTGTTTGTGGTATCGCATTTCAATCAATAGCGTCATCAGAATGTACATCAAAAATCTCATAACCACACTTTTCGCAGAATTTCGGAAGCGTCATAAAATTGGCACCGCCAAAACAAATCAAGTTGTCTGCTATAATACCGCAGTGCTCCCAAATTGTACAATCAAAGCGACTAATGGTTGAAAGATTTTTCCACAGTTGCTATTTTTGACGTAATATAACAATCCTGCAAATAACTTCATTGAAATTTGACATTCCAATCTTCTTTTGAAATATTAATAGTATGGAAACATCTCATACTGCATCTCTGTTTGTTTTTGATTTTCTGTCCGTTTTACAGTCTCCTCTGCGCGCATCGAGAAGAATCTTAGGTGCAACCGATAATTTCTTAAACAGGCCATAAACTTGCTTACAACCAATTATACGCAGAAGTGAGCAGTAGATAGGCTTGAAAAAAGTGTAATCTGCCAACTCATTCTTGCTTTTCAAAACACGTGGCCGCCTCTTTCACCTTCCCATTGTACTTTTCGAAAGCCCAATCTGCTTCTTAGACGCCTTGTATGTATGCAGAATTTTTGTTTTTATCAAATTATTTCGAAAAAAATTGTTGCCTGTATTGTATCTTCGCTCATCAGCGTTGTTTACGGAAGTGTACACATTAAGAAAGTAAATTTTGTATTCCTTTACTTTCGAAGCTCGTCGTGAAGCCGAGGAAGTGCAAACTTATTGTGTTGCATGCTAATGCTTGATAGAAAGCGTACACCGTGTTTCGCCGTCAAAACGCGGGCTGGACATCTTTACACAATCTCATCACTCCAAGTTTTCTTAAGAGAGTGAGTTGGCAATTAACAGAGCGTAATTACAGAATACTGACTAGTCGTCAAAGTTTCAAGCTCTCTAGAGAGTCACAGTTACTTAGATGCTGGTCGCGTAATGATCATTATCCTATATTACAGGCTTTGTGTGAGGACCGATCAGGGTTACACCCTCTTAGAATTTCGATTAATTCAAATGTTCCGTTTTCTAGTTCCAACCGCGGAAAGCTTCATCAGCAAGCTCATCGGTTGGTACTGCAATCGACACGACGCAAGTGCCGAACGTTGAGCAAGCATCGATCAAGACGGAGACTGCCTCTCTGAATCCGAACAATCCGCTACTTCAGCAGGCACCGCAGCAGCAGCCGCAACAGCAGCAAGCGCAGCAACCACAAGTGCAAGCGCAACAAGCACAGATGCAGCAGCAGCAGCTTGGCCAACAACCGCTAAGACCGTGAGTTTTGTCCGAATTTACAGCATTGATCGCAGAATTGAAAAAAGGCCTGATGGAAAAGTTGCATTCGAACTGTGTGCTTATCCTATGCACTCAAGCAAGGCTGAGGTAGTCTGGCTTGAGCTCGGACTGCACTCTCTTTCCCAGTCCATGCTTTCGTAGTCGGCGCGAGAATAACGCGATCGAGATGCGGCCGAAAATGACATTTTTCGCGTGCCACCCACGTCGCAAGCTTTTACACCTAATGTGCTGGTGGTATGATTGATGTTGAAGCTTGTGATTGATCGCGATGGGGGCCCTCGTGCTTGTGGATCAGGGCCTCAGGTTTCCCCACTTCATTCCACTAACAAATCAACACCTCACTCATAGCTCAATGCAAGAGGCGGACAGGTGAATTGCATCTGAGACGCCGTTGTCTCATGAAGTGAGATAATATATAACAAATGATGATGCTCTCACGTATCAGTTGTGTAGGTGCTCACTAGTATCATAATAAAATGACCCTCTTAAGATGAAGTAATTAACGGTGCACTAGATATCGACCTTATTACTCAAAAATATAATGTAGGAGATGGTTTCGTAATTAGATACTCGATCTTTCTCCAGCTTATCGCTGCTAACTCCTCAAAATCTGACTCGTCAATAATCGTTCGCCTGTCTTAAAATTGAGATTCTAAACAGAGCTTACTACCCCTAGTGTGGTGCAGTGCGCTTGATTCCGTACCTTGTACAATGGATCTTCAGAATAACTCGTGCGTATTTGTGCATGCCATCAGAGTAAGAAAGGCAATTGTTGGTTGTTGGAGGTCCTTTTAGTCCGTTCTGGTATGTCTATCGAAATAATGAAAATTACTAATCTACGAAAACCTTGACAAGGTGTGAAGTTTTTCTCTTCGAACGCACTTTACAAGTCACTTTACAAGTTTACAAGTCCTTGGAAGTATCCGAACCTCTAAGTTTGGCATAACTTTGCTCCATTCCATAACAACAGCGCGTAAGCTAACTTCTCTTCTACCTCACTCTTTATTTAGCCCACTCCACCATTCATAATTATCGAAATTTCTAGTTGGTTTTGTTGTTGATACTTTCTTTTTTCTGTATTCCCACTTCTCTGAACAAAGACCTGATTATCACTTTTTGCAGGTTAGTCCTTTATTATACGCTTCATGCTCATACTCACACCTCTTATCATCTTATCATGTTGGCGTGATAATTTCACAAACTTCTTAGATATTACGTCTTTTTGAAGCATAGCCGCTGGCTAAACAACCCGAGTTTTTTTTTTCAATTTTACTTGTCGAGACACAGATAAAATGCACTACCATGTGGTTACTCTATTTCAGATCCGCGGCAGTACCGATGCCACAACCAGCCGGCTATCCTATCCCTATGCAATTCAGTGCATTACCATTACCGACAACGGGTATCCCTTATCCTCCCGGTACATATCCAGGATCGTCACTGCCATCTGTTGTTGAAGGTGTTCAGTCACAGCAACAGCCACAACAACAGCAAGCAACACAGGTGTGATTCCACTTTTTCGCAATGGTCGCTAAGTTGTCCGCTCCAGAATCCAACCACTTACACCTCATCGGCTACCTTACCGCATGCTCGTACGTGGAGTGCTGCTCCCCCTCCTTCGCTGCCTTTTCCTGGAGTGCCACCGTCAACATCGCTGGAGGGACATCCGCAGCTGTATTATCCGGTAAATTTGTAGTTTCATAGCTACTGTGCATTTGTTGCGACTGCATCGTAGATTCTCCTATTCTGGATGTGTAGACTCTAGCCTGATCATCTCCCTTTCTTTCTAACCTCCTTGAGCCACTGACCTTAGAAACGGATAGGTAGTGACGTTGCAGGAGGGCAAGCGTAGCCCTGTGCGCGTGAAAATTCCCCTGCACACTGCCTTCGATAATAGAGTCCGGAAAGTACTGGTTGCTTGAGTCCCTGACCTCGGGAAGCAACTACGTCTTTAGAAAAATGGAGCAAAAGAAGGAGCTGTAAATAAAGTAGCAAACGCGTGAAAATCCGAAAAAACCGCGTAAAACCTGATCTATTTGGCAGTTTTCGTCCTGAAGGTTTTTGCCTACACGAAACTCGCGTAAAGCGGGAATCGACTTCTCTTTCAAGAACAATGTGTGAAACTTTTCTTTTTACTCCTTCACATGAAAGGCAACTGATGACACGTCCTCTACATTACGTCCGTCTTGTCGCTTTTGTTTCCGGCGACGTTGTCTGCGTTGTTTCGTTCACCATTTTGAGCAACATTCTTTTGAACAGGGGAAAAATGGTTGCGCATTGCATTTAGAAGAACAGTATGAAGAAAAGACACTTGTTACAGATTTTCACCAAATATGCTCGACATTGTAGGCAAACGCAAATGTAGCGAATGCGTGAAGAGACTGCGTCAAAACTGAATAATAACAAAATGGAGAATAACAAAGAATAAAGTTTTTTGCTCGTTTCGCTCAAATGAAAAAAAAAGCTGAGCTCTGTACGTTATATATTCTTCTGTCAGCAACGACTAGAAAAGCTGACATCGTCGCCAAAATTGAGAACTTCTATGAAGAAATAAATCACAATCCTCTGTGCTGCTCTTTGCGCAGGTTTGTGCGCAGTTTCTCTTTGATTTTGATAAAACTCCTTAGTCTTTCTGAGTCCCTGTAATGGGTAATCTAGGAATCGGTCGTTTAGAAGACATTGTTACCTTAGGAAGAACCCACAAAAATCTATTTCAGTGCGAAAAAGCTACATATAAGCTGTGTTTTATAGCGCTTTAAAGGCAGTTCATGATTTCAAAAGATAATCAGTGAAGAGCATGTCTTATTTGGTCTTATTACCACAAAATAAATCTCATAAATGTTGAAGGTCAAAAACCCTTGAAAATTCAACTGAAATCAGATTCGTAAACATTTCACTCAGTTCATCAAAATCCGTCAAACAGCAAGTGGCAACTTCGAACAGCTGGTAAGCCAAAGCACCTCGTGCTATCGTTTGAAAGCTCGTATAAACTGTACTGGGCCTTTGAGATGAAAACTTACATAAGATTAGCTCCTGTCGGCCATCTCTCCTTATTTTGTGAGATATGGGTCCTGTTGGCCGTCTCTTCTTATTCTGTGAGATAAGGCGCTTGCGTCGAAACCATGCTATGAAAATTCACCGACCTGTTTCAGGTGCAACAGCTTGTATCAAGTTCTGCGTCGATGCCTTACGGATTGTCGTCACCTGTGATGGTTTCACCGTATGCGACACTGCAGCTGAACATTCCCCCAGTTGACTTGAATAATCCAGAAAATGCTGCTACATTGACCAGATCGTTGGATCAGGTATATCAATGCCTTGAACATTCCTTCGCACCTTTGTAGTAAATGTATACCAATTCTATAAACTATAGTACAACCAGCAGTTGATACGATCTCAACTTGACCAAGCTCAACAATCTGCTCAAGTCGCTGGCTGTCAGGTTCAACTACTCAGGGATCAGTTGACGAGTGAAACTACAGCCAGAATAGAGGCCCAGGTAATGAATGAACATGCAACAACAAATCTATCTTCACACGAGACACAGCTCTCAAATGCTAGTCAGAGACGAAGGCGCGTGGCCGCGTAAGCGAGGCGTGCGCGAGAGTATGAGCTCTAATGATGAAAGCTGGTGGAATGTCGCGTTTCGCAATATAGACCGACCGCTCGTCAAAAATCAGCCTTTACTCACTGTTCTGTTGCATAGAATAGAGTAAGAAGAAATTGAGCAGCGATTGAGCAGCATCTTGTTTGAGTAAGTATTTGTAACACTGCAACGCGGTCTTTTGCGCTGTAGCGTGTCCCCGTAGGCGTGCGTACCATGCGATATCAAGAGCAATCAAGTCTGAAGTCGCGGTGCACAACCGCTCCAGAATGGAATTCCACACTGCCACTCTCACTTTTTGAATATCCTTGGGTAGCTTACAACAGCAAACGCATTCATGAACTATCACTTTGAAAGGCATGGTCTGAGAAATATATGGGTGTCATAATTTATCAGTTTTGTAGTCTCGAACCCATCAACTTCTGAATGCGAATCGCGAACTCCTTGAACAAGTACAATGTCTCGTTCAACGGTTACAGCAACTTGAGACAAAGATCACAAGCGAGATTCAACAAAGCGTGCAGGTGAGAGTGATCTGTTAATGCCGTTCAAAACTGCGAAATTACAAACGTTCAGTCCCCGCCTGGTCCTCACACCTCGTCACCTCCTATCCATCGACCTCCAGTTTACATGTCCTATCATGAGCAGTACGATGCTCGTCTGCCGGCTGGCTCACAACCGCGTGAAAATATGCCTTATCAGGTGAGTGAGTTTAGTGTAGGTTCAGGTAACAGACGTGTGTGGCTCTTTCGCACATTGTTTCATTTCTGCGCAGCTGCAAGAGTGTTTACATCGGATAGAATTTACAATATGTTGCTGTTATCAGAGTCTTTGAAGCGATCCAAAGTGCAATACACTAAAGTATTCAGCACTGTACAAAACGAAATATAATCTTGCATCTGATTTACGACGTACTACCCCTCGCTTTACAAGGTTCAAACGTTGGCGGACCTGAGGTCTGGCTCACTACCTCCGAAGGACTCTAGGGAGCGGCGAATCAAAGACGACGGAGCGAAGACGGAACCCGAGAGTAACAACGAAGACACAACTGACTACTCGAGCAGCGACCAGGTACATTCTTGTAATGATTTCTATGGAAAAAATGGCAAAACCCAAATTTTCTCATCAAATCGCCACTTTAGTACGAGAAGTCATCAACGGTAATGAAATCGAACGTGCCGCCGCCACCGCACTACAATGTACTGATGGCAAACCCGTTGGCTGATATCAGCGTACCAGCGAGTGTATCCGAAATACGAGATCAACCACGGGGAGAAAGAGATGTAAGAGAATTACGTGGTGGCGAACGAAAGGTGACCGATTGCTTTGTCTAATGCTTCTCACCTTCTTACTTTGCATTTGTTCGCTACGCTGCGAGCAGACTACAAGCTTAGAGCATTGTTTTTATAGGACGATGATGAAGCTCAACCTGGTACGTCATCGTCGCCACAGAAGAAACTTCGCTCGGGTGGCATCTTGCGAGGAGAGATGGACTTTGCTCGTATGTCTTTCAATCCTAGGTAAGTCCATAGATCTTCAGTGTATCGTACTGTATAAAGGAGGGCGGCTTGAAATGACTAAACGGCTTAGTTTGTGGAAAACCGCGGCAGCCGCCGAAGTTCGCCGCAATTCGCGTCGCATAGCATAAGTAGTTCAAACTGGACGAAATTCGAATCCAGAGTAGCATTGAAATCAGCCCGGCGTCGCTTTGGTATAAACAAAGCATTTTAGGGTGCGTTAGGGTCTTTACAAAACCGTCGTGACGAACTTGACTACTGTCTTTGCGACTACCTAAACGTCACAAGAGTGTAACACTTGAATAAAAGGCACCAGCTTAGTGCTCAGCTCAGTCACTCCCTGCATCTATAAGCTATCATCATGCAAAAAAAGAACTCAACTAGAAATGAAAGCCAAGAAAGTGCGACTGTCAAATTTGCGTACGCGGCGCACACCACCGCCATCGTCATGATATTGTTCTATATTATAATCAGTTTTTAGCAGCAGTTGATGTATGGTTGTAATCAGCATTGGCCTACCTACCGTAACCAAAAATTTGAAAGGATTCTCAAGAGTTGGTAGAATACTGCTTACACACCGTGCACCTACCGTGCCAGAAAGGCATTTATGAATTAAAATCTGCGCAGCGTTGAGGTGATGAGAGATGCCTTTGGGTCAGTGTGGCCATTCGAAAAAGATAAATGTAAGATATACACTGCTGAAATCATGTCGATCTCAAAATTGCGTTTTATCTGCGGAACGCTTTTTTGAAGAAGGCCATGTCGTAAAAACAGAAATACAAAAAAAGTGCGCTTGAGAGAATTTGAATATACAAAGTTCAGTACAATAACGACCGCACCCCGCTATTTCATTCTAAGAACATAGCATGTACTGCAGTGATCCTATACCAAATGGTGTGTTAACTTAATCATACTTTGGAATTCACATGAAGTGCGTTCCGCAGATATTGCAGTCTTGAGATCAGCACTCATCACCGAATTTAGCAACATGAATCCCTTCTCGAATGGCCACACTGACTTGAGGGACATTCCTTGTGAGCTGAACGGTTGGATTCCGTGATACGGCAAGAGGCCAATTTTGGCAAGCTCAGGTGGCCGCGGCTGTTTTCTTTTTTACACACTATGAGAGTTAGTTAGTATACAGTCGATTCATTTGTAGGGACTGTAATCAGTGGCGCGCAATGCAGTTCAGATTTCAATCCTGATGCGCTCTTTCTTTTTGATTCCTATTCGTCTAGCCGGCTAATACCTGAAAGTATCATGTCCACGCACGCTCTCCTCTTGGGATTTCCACCCCATTGCTCCGCACAAATCTCATGCAATGCTGAGTGCAAGAATAGGTCATTCGCCACAAAATCACACATCTTCAGTTTCGGCCTTTGTCGGGTAAGTTTCACTTTGTGGCATGTTCCGCCCACTTGACCAGTTCAACAATTCGTGCGAACTTCTACAATTCTGTTGAATGCTGGAGCTTGTACAAGGAGCGGAGGGGGGTGCCTAGCAAGTGATACCCGGGCAGCCGACTGCTGCCGCAGCCAGCTGCCGGAGCTGCCGGCAAAGCCGCTATAGATCGCACAGTAATTATGCTCGTCGCCTGAAACTCTTGCAATGAGGTTTCCTCGCATTTCGTCGCACTGAGGAGCGATATCATCTCAGGGGTAGCTTGATGTCCTCGATATCTATATCATTCTAAACAGCGAAATTTGCAATTTTCTGAGAACAGTATGAATAACAAGGCTATGCAGAGAAGAGTCTTCTAGAGGAAAATGGTCACACAAATCATTTTAAGTACCCAAAAAAAACGAGCAGCTAAAAATTCAGGAAATTTTTCGTTTCTAAAAATCTTTTAGTTCTCGAGTCTGAACGCGGAACGGACGGGAACAAGGGGAAGGGGGGGGGCGCCCATTACTTGTTAGTGTCAATTAGAAGCTGGTCGCGACGCGGCGTTACAGTAACCCCGACGAGAGGCAGCAGGGTCAGAGTAGATGTCCCAGGGGAAAGCTTCAGGGGTCAAGATTATAGTGAACAAAAAGTTTACATTTCCTGATCAAAAACATAGTAAATTCCATATTTCCTTCCACTATCTTCCTTTTTAAACAAAAAAAAAATTGATGTGGCATTATAGAAACCATTACAAAAAAGAATCAGTATGGCTTTGTGAGTCGGCTACCCGAGTTCTCCGTGAACCTCATTGTTGCCAGCCGATCGCGCGCGACGACTGCATAAATGACAGTCACAAGTAATGGGATACACCCCGAGAACAATCACAAGGAAATGGTGTGGATATAACGTTAGGAAAAGTCTGTCAAAATTATTTCTTATGACCTAGCGATTAAGCGAGCTAATTAAGCCATAGTATATCAAATAAATCAAATCACTGATAAAAAGTGAAAATATGCCACATATGCTGATAAAAGGGGAGACCGAAGACACCATGATATCAAAATGCTTATTTCAATTTATACAGTTCTCAAGAACAGCCTCAGTCTTAACCTTGAGCGGAAAACTTCATCACTTCTCCAGCTATTTTGAGAAAATAAACCAACATAAAAGTTCAAACGCAGTAACAGAAAAAATTTTGAATTCCTGTTTATCCATTTTTGTAGATGTTGAATTTTTGAAATTTTCCCCATGTATAGCTTTGTATTCACTGGATGGTTCCCAGTACAATATAAATTTTCTGCTTTTTAAAATGACATATATATCAAGGATATCACGCTATCCTTGAGGTTGATATACCTCACCGCGACGAGGTACGAGGTCATACAAAAAAATGCGTACAGGGATTTTCAATCTGAGGTCGCGGTCGGCGCGGCAGGTCCTCGCTGGCCGCCTCGCTTGGGTACCTCAGGTGATACGGTATTTTTCCACGCTTGAGACGTAGGAAATACCGTATCCTTAGGCATCAATGGCCGACGAGCTTGGGAAGATGCCCCGCGACAAGTTCGCGAACGCGTAACGAGCAGCGCCGACCGTGACACTCAGGTTTATGAATCTTATGAAACGTGAGACAAGCAAAAAATGGCTTGTCCTCAAAGGCAGTAGCTCGGCGAAATTGCAGCTGCGCGCTTTCTCTTCCTCTTTAGCCTTCTGAATGCGTTTAGATCAGAGCTGTGCTTGGAACTGAAAAGTCAAAAATTGCTTCTTATGGCGTTTTCCGGCCTTGGAGATTGCTGAGGAGGCTGAAGCGGAGATTCCCGCAGCCGAGTCGCGATTGGCCAGAAGACTATAACATCACTCATTCTGGCGGCAATTATCTGATTAATCCAGGCAGCTCGGCTATGGGAATCTCCGATCCAGCCTCCTCAGCAACTTCAAGGCCGGAGAAAGCTATAAAAAACACTTTTCTGAATTTTCAGGCACAGCTCTAGTCTAAACTCATCCAGAAGGCCAAGGAAGCACAGAAAGCGCGCAGTTGCAGTACCCTGAGGTTGCGCGGGACTGATTAAAATCATAATTTACCACCTAACTCACATAATTTTTCGAGAATTTTCACACAAGTCCATCCTTCAGACCAAGCTCTATTTTACTCACCTTAATCCAATTTTTTACTACCCATCTGCTTTGCTAAGGCCCTTGTATGATATCAAAATTTTCTTGCTTTCTACTATCTCTATTCCTGTTTTTTTAATTTCCACTCATCGTGCATTATAATCCGTACTTCCACAAAAACTACTAAAGGTTATTCGTGAAATTCTGCAGTATTAAAGAAAATTTTGATTTCTAAATTCTCAAATGCCACCTCCTGCAGGGTCCTTTAGTCAATGTTTCAATATGTGTATTGCACATCTACAACACGACTTTCCTAAGTTGAAAGCTGTCAGTTTCCTAAGTTTCGCCTCTTTCTTCTCTCTTAGTTTGATCGGACAGGTATGCAGTAGCACGCATTCATACACTTTGCTCCTTTGAGAAGATGGCACCGGCAAATTACTAGGAGTCGTGATAACGCGCAAAGCGTGCAGACTCACAGACTGAGTTGCAAATGACTCGCTTATGCATCCGAGACAAACTGGCTTTTTTTGCCTTCCGATGACTTATGAAATTTACACTACAGTATATGTGCATTGCCGTATTCCATTAAATACAGTATATATGCTACGTTAGGGGTGTGGAAAATCGTAGCGAGGTGCGCACAGTAGTCAAAATCGCGACATAGGGGCTTACTGTATCATGAGGTACATTGTACGACGAACCTACTCGAATATCCTCAAAGGTTGTGGCTCGGGACAGTTGTAGTTGAGCGCTTTCTGTTCCTCCTGGCCTTCTAGATGCGCTCAGACCAGAGCTATGCTTGAAAATTCAAAAAAGTGCTTTTTATGACGTTTTCCGACCTTGGAGATTGCTGAGCGGGCTAGAGCAGAGATTCCAGCCGAAAACAGTGACTGGCTGCAGGAGACTGTAACACATTTTGGCGTAATTGGCTGAGCGCAGGCAGCCAATCCCGATCGGTGGGCGGGATTCTCCGCTCCAGTCCTCTCAGTGAAGTCCAAGGTCGGAAAACGCCACAGAAAGCACTTTTTGACTTTCAAGCACACTGTCGGACTCAGCTGATCCAGAAGGTCAGGCATTTGTGAGAAACCCGCAGTCGCAAATTACCCGAGCCACTGCTTTCGTTCTAAAAACAGTAGCAGAAAGTATTTAATTGTTCGCTGTTGTTAGCAAGCGCAAAATAGATGAGCTTGTTGTTGTACATGCAACGATTTACGATATCAGTGTCTCTGCGATATGTGAGTCAGCACAGTCTGTAGGCTAGTACCATTACATTCCATTCCAATCGTGATATGCTTAAAATTGGCATGATGCGCGTCCGCACCGCTATGGTTTTGCTCTATATCTGCAGTTTGCCATAAGGGTCATGATAGCAACGGGTTCCCCTCTCCCCTTCGATCTCTCCGCGAGCGTATGCAGCTCCTCCTCTAGCGTTGCGATCGCTAGCCAACGCTTTGGCTTCGACTGAGGCCAGCTGTAATGTCAAAAATAAGCAAAATTCAATATCTTCCAAGCAGTGGCTTGGCAAATTCTCGGCGCTATTTTTTTCGACTTACAGTTGAATCATTTCATATGGTAACGTGTGCATTGCACACACCGTCATCTTTGCCGTCCTCATCCTGGATTTGCAATCGCAAAAATGCAAGATTGACCGATTGTTGCGCTTCCATCACTTCGAGTGATGAATGCGTTAGAAGGAAAAAAACATTAACAACACATCGAAAACACTTACCTGAAGTTGTCTGCTCCAAGTTCTCAGGACGAAAACTTCAAAGGTGGACAGTGCGTGCAGTGACGCACATGGTCATATGAACTGATTCTATGTTATGCTAAATAAAATATCGTTCTTTTACTGTCAAAAAACGAAAAATTGCTTTTTTGTTGCATTCTACAAAGGGTCAGACGCTGCGAGGCGGGAACAAAAATTCGCGCCCTTCGAGCTGCGATTGGCTATCCGAGTCAACCATCCAATCGCCACCAAGTTGGATAGAGTGCCTCCACCCACTAAAGGTGCTGCAGCCAGTCGCTCTCACAGCGCGCGATCTTCAAATTCATCCAGCAGATCTTCATGTTCGAAATGAGTTTTTGACATCAAGGAAATAAAGGACAGTTTTGACTCAGCAACAAGTACCAGAAATACTGAAAAATCTGGAAAGGCGAATTTGCCGATCCACTGCCGAAAAAGGTTGAAAAAACGCTTCAATGGATTTCATTGTTATTGTTAAATATACCGACGCTCATTCACGCAATAAGCACATGCAGTTTCTATTTCCTGCAAGTCCTAGATTAAGGCAGATCCGAGCCCTTTCACGTTCTTCTATGCTTAGCATTCATAAATCCAAAGCCAGCATCACTGATGTTTTAACCTTCTTTTGCGTATTCCAGAAAATTGGAATCGATCTCCTATTACCCACAGCCCGTAGGGCTGCAGTACATCAGTAGGCCTCAAGAGTTGACTTGACGCCTAAGTGTTTCTTTCCAATCCGCAGTTTTATCAGCTCAAAGGATAAGAGCGATGCGTGACTCAAAGGCAGTGCCTCGGCAGAATGACAACTTTGGGATATTCATCGTTTTTGACTCTCGTGGATGAGCTGAGTCTAAGGGCCGCATGCACTAATATCCCCGCGGGGAGGGGATCGCAGCTTCAGAAGAAAGCTTTATATCCTGAAGCTCCGGATATCTGGATTTCACGCTGTCTACCTATCCTTAAGTATTCCTACTACCCTTCACTATGAACATGTTGAAGAGGAGCGAGAAGCTGTACGAACCGCATTTTCCAGCTTTTGTATGATCCCTGATGATCCCCGGCGGTTTTCTTTGAAGTCATTTTTCTTTCTCCGAAGTTAACGAAAACCTTCCAAAGTTGTACTGAACATCTAACACAATACTGCTAAGCATGTTGCTGATGAGAACAAATGAGTTTTTGAAAAGTCGAATTTTTCGGTAAGCCTCAAATTTCGACCTGTGGATCATCGCAAATTTCATGACCTCAAAACTTCATTTGTTCTTAGCAGCAACATGCTTAGCACTGTCGGGTTAGACAATCTGCACAACTCTGGAGATTCTTCGTTAACTTCGGAGAAAGAAAAATGACTTTGAAGATAAGCGAAGGGGATCATCAGGGATCATACAAAAGCTGGAAAATGCGGTTCGTACAGCTTCTCGCTCCTCTTCAACATGTTCATAGTGAAGGGTAATAGGAATACTTACGGATAGGTACACAACGTGAGATCCAGGGCCCGTAGTAAACCCCTCTTGGATGTCACAATATAGAGGGACTATGTCGTGATAGCTCGGAGTATCTCGCAAGACTATAGCGAGCTATCCGCAGGGCGCCGCAAAACTAACGCATAAACATGGGATCGAACCACTGATAAGCCCAACAACAGCGCCCACACTCGCTGCGCTATAAGTACCAATTTCACGGTGTTTTACTAGGAGTGGAAGAACGCGCGTAGCAAATAAAGCTGTTGTAGCAAAATCAGTAAGGCACATGACATGAAGTTTTACTTGCAATATTCCCAATCCGTAATATTAGCATTGTAGAAGTAATTACTGCTCTCGCCATAAGTGTAAAATTGCACGTATAAAGCATTTGAAGATAACGAGTAGATAGCGCAGTGCCAGTGTCAGAGGCCAGCGTGCCCAAGGGGGGAGGGTTCCAATCCTACGCAATGCCGCCTTTTGCAATTTGCTAATAGTTGAATTTTTATGCAAATAAACTCATGTTAGGGAATTTCCTGGTAGTAAAGAGAAAATGGCATTCAGAATAGTCAATGTGGAAGTGCATAAGAAAAATGAAAATGTCATCAAACATTTACTACTTCAGCAAAATGTTCAAAAATTTGCTATTCCCTTAGCCATAGCACCAAACGGTCCCTTCTCTCAAAAACAGAAGGGAAGCGAGAGGCTGTACGGCTAACGAACAGCAATTCAAGCAAAAATATGTGTTTAAAAATGCTACGATAGAAGAAGAGATAAGAATTCAAGAAATTTTGGCACGAAAAAGAGATTTGGTGCGCGCATGAGGCGCATTGTGAAAGTAAAAAAAGAAAAATAGCACAAGCACGAATTAGCAAGCAGAAAATATGACCTAATCTACATTTACGTCAAAAACAACTCACCATTTTCTGAATAACAGGGTGTGCAAAGCAGAAGTATCTAGCAAATGGAAGCGCCACATTGCTCGGACAGTTAGGCGCTATCAGCTGCTGATATTGATTGCAGTTGACGTGCGTTTTAGAGAACTGTGTGCATGTGCGACCTATCGCGAGGTTGGCGTACTCGAGCTCTAGTCTCGCGCTATGTCTCTGCGTCTTCATGCTGGACAAAGTATTTCGCCGTCTCGTCCGTCACGACATGTCGCAATATGTCGCTATATGTCGCGATATGTCGCGACATATAGCGACAAAGTGGGACTACCCTGGCGCTTCGCATTGATTGCGTCCGCCGGCAATGATAAAGGATAGCCGCCTTGCCTGCCTCGCTCCAGGGTAGTCAGCACATGTCACAGCAGGCTCCTAGCTATACGTCAGCACATACGGGGGGTTTACTACAGGCCCAGGTATCTGGAGTTTCGAAATATAAAGCTTTCTTTTAAGCTGCGATCCCCTCCCCGCGGGGATGTTAGTGCATGCGGCCCTAAAAGTGTGCTCTGTAGCTTCTAATATATTGGTAACTCGCTTTTCGGGCGTGGAAAGTGCATTTGGGCGGGCAGCAAAAGCCCACCCCTTTATAGACGATTGGCTGCTGGGGCCAATAATCCATTTACTGCCGGGAGGGTACGGTGCGTCCACCATCCGCACCTCGAGCCAATTGCTTTCTAGAGGGCGGGCTTTCGCCTCCCGTCCAAGCACTTCTTACGTCTGGAAAAGCAAGCCATTTCTTTTGAAGCTGCAAAGCACAGCTTTGGAACTAGCTCATCCAGAGGATCCGAGAACAATGAATATTTCAATGTCGCCAATTTGACGAGCCGATGCCCTTAAGAGTTTTCTGTTTGTTTTTTAAGGAGTTATGAGAGGTAACCTGAGAAGTAAAAGGCTTTAATGCTACCGTATTGCAGGTTGCAGCAACCTCTGTTCTCGAAAGATCTCGATGAACGTATCGAGGAAGAGGATCGCACGGAAGCGACTACGCCGGTAAAAAAGAAATTCGAAGAGGAAAGAAGAGATGAGCGGCGCAAAAAGGAGAAAGTCACAGTCGAATCGCTCTTCAAAGCCGATCCTCCCTTATCAGACAAGTCAGCAGTCGCAGCCACTGCGAATCGGACAGAGCCGGTCGGTCCACCTTCAGGTTACTTGTGTCTCGGAAATCGCATGGGGACCCGCTTTCAATTCTATATCATACCCACTTTGAATTTGTTGATTTCAGAGCCATACGACAGCGTTGCTCCCACCGAGCGTAGTGCCCCCTGGCGAACCGGCTAGTTCGAGCCTTGCCACGGCAATGTATCCTCCAATTCGACGGCCAGTAGTCACTGTTGTCAATCGGGTTTGTAATATTTCTACATCTGCTGAAAAAGTCTGCGTTTAATTCCATCATTTGTACAATACCGAATCAAGATTTCAAACTTCCACGAACTCTTGTTTGAGAATGTCTACAAGAGCTTCAAGCCTCCTATTAAGCATTACTGTAATGCGTGCCACACTGCAATTTTAGGAAAAGGAGAGACCTCCACCGGATAGTGCATCGGTGGCTACATCTATGTATCCTCAAATATCGGTTAAAAAACCGCTGACAAAAAGTCCAACAAGGGATGTGAGTAAATGAGTACGTAATGCCTATGCTATCCTCGTCATTAACTCAATCTCACTTTTGTTCATTCCCTAAGCTTATTAACTTGGCGCATGGTGATGTCTATTGATCTCTTTGGAAACACCGAGCAGCTTTGGAGTTTGAGCGACTATCCACAGTAAAACTCATTTCAAAGATGGGGAAAATTGATTGAAGCTGGGCGTATCTTTTTTGATGTTGGGACATTCGGAAAAGATGACAAGCTCTACCAGATGACTTCCAAATATTCGCTCTACTTTTATGTACATGAATTTTGCCAAAATGCAAGACTCAAGCATTCATCACTGTCCACATCAGACATACATATAGGCTGCTGCATGACGAAGGCGCAATATCTTCGGGCGCGAACGCGGCTCTATTAGCCGCAGAGCGCATGAGGTGCGGGATCTACAACAGTGAGGATACGCGCGCGTCGCGTTCGCGCCCGCTCAACTAATATCGCCACTGCGCCTTCGTCATGCAGCAGCCTTTATGAATACGGCATCTGTTCCATGGCTAGAGATCGGGGAAAACTAAGTTTGATAATATCTGACAAGTAACCAAACAACAACAAAAATCCATCATTTTACTTCCAAAGATTTTCAGTACATGATTGGTGGCGTACCCAGGATTTTCGTTCGGGAGAGGGGGGGGGGGAGTTCAAAAAATTTTTAGAATGGAGGTGCGTGGAGTTTGCAAGGAACTCCGTTTTTTGGAATGCTTCACAAGAATTTTATGGGCCATAATCCCGAATTTCTGGAAAAATTTTAACAAGACTCTCAACAAGAACAAAATTATTAATTGATTTATTAATCAGATTATTTGATTATTTGCAAGTGTGAGCAAGTCACTTGCACATTTTCTTAACTCATGTAAGTAACTTACAAGAATTTTGCTATCCCTTTTCCCTCAGTACGCCATTCACGATTACTTATTTGGAAGAAGCTTTGATAGAAAGGCTCGGAATCTGCGGGAGACGGTCAAGAGGCGCGACTTCTCTGGCTGTCACCAACTTAAAAGCCCATTTCTGCACTATACAAATTTTTAAAAAATTCCAGGGAATGTCATTTAGCTTACTAGGTGTTCGAAGTTACCATTTACTGAGCTCCACGGCTTTTGCTGCAAAAATGAGCGAAATATTCACGAAATTGCCATTATTTGCATTTTCATGGGTTTTTGACCTCCAGTGTTCCTGTTTTGGATCTTTTAAGATGATAAGATTAGACAGCTCATGCCAACAATTTTCTATAACTTCTCGGAAATTTGAAAGGCCCATGGAACATTATTAAACATTTAAAATGTGCAATTTGATGTCCAGATGGCAATAAAAATTGCGCCTCTTGACATACACCCGGAATTTTCCCTTTTTCGTCTTTCCATTTCTAGTAACAAAGAAAAATAAGCAACTATTTATTTGACTGCTATATGGTCTGAAAAAGGTGTGTAGCAATTTTTCGTGGAGAAACTCCATTTTGATCGTATTTTAATTTCGCTTTTTAACTTCATATTAGATTTGTGGATGTTTAGGGTCATCGTTTAGATGGTTTGTTGTGCTCTAACAAACATATTATTATACTTTGGTAAAACAGAAGCGATAGATTTTGACAGAGGTAGGCAGAAGGTATAGGACAACATAATAAAATGACGCTAAGTCTCACAAAAAGTAATAAATCTTCAATAATACCTTCATCCTTTTTTACTGTCATCATAGCGAAATCGATACTCTATCTCAATTCCCAAACGCATATGCCAACTAGTCTTTGAGTCCTGAGGATAACTTGGGGTTTGACTCTAGACTAGTTTGGTACAGTGATTAGAACAATAAAGTAATAATTCGCGAAAATGCTATTTGTTTTGAGGAGCTTCAGTAATAAGTCTACCCGAATGCACTTTCTCTAAGCTTTGAAAATCTCTTTTACATGATGTCCGAAGATCAGGCTTTGTCTGGAGTTGATAATCTCTGCTGCAATTTACCAATCATGCGCTTCAGCCGCAATTATTGTTACTGTGAAATTTTTGACTCCACAACGGCAAAATTCAAACCATCTCATATAAGAAAAACTCACAAACTAGCAAGCTCCTCTATGCTTCTGCTATCATGTTGGGTTCAGCACAATCTCATGCTATTTGCTGATTTACATGCATGGTTCATCTCTGTAACTTTCTTTCGTTTAATTCCGGAATAAACTGACTCGTTTCCATTTTGGTAGTATAACCAAACACATTGTGCTTACATGCAGGTAATGTGTGTGTCTCCTCTGTACTCTAACCTCTCGAACACTGGAATCATTCCAAGCATTCCATTTTCAGCCAAAGCTCGATGTGATTCGTCGAAAAACGCTACGAGCGCTGTCGGTGGAGATGGGTGACGAACCGAAGGAGGAGAACAGAAATCGGACAACGCAACAAGTGCGAAAAGGGACGGAGGTTGTGAATATTGAAGACTATCTTAAGTGAGTTGCATGCGGCTACCTGGTTCATTCCTCTCAAAAAAACTTCTCCAGCCGAAACGTAGACCGACCAAATCCCGGTGATACAGCAGCGTTATTGGCACGATTGCGACAAGATGATGGCAAATTGCCAAATTTGCCAAACGGTTATCCTTAGAAGTTCGAATGCTTCGACTCGGGTCGGTCGCAATTCGCTGCCGCGACGCGTGTGTTTTGTTCTTCCTTATCAAAAAGTTTTGATCTCGAACACTGGTCGTTTATTTCCCTTTGTTCAATGTTTTTATTATTGAGCAGTTTGACTAGGTTTCCGTATAGACTTCGTTTGCATTTGAAATAAAGAATTTATATCATTTCTGCACTGTCATCGTTGACATTCCACATTATTATAGTCGAAATTGCATGTTGTTAACGTTTTGCATGATTTTATTATGCGGCAGTATTAACTTTCGAATGATTCTCCTCATGTGTCATTGGGATGTGTGTCCCCTAATGCTTCGCTGTTTTTTCTTCTACGGAAACAGTCCCTCTTATCCTCTCTTTCTTGCAGAAGTTTCTATCATTTTACCGCAACAAATTGCGTTTTCCTTGCTACGTGCTTTCAAATTTTCTAAGAGCTGACGGTAAACAGAAAGAAATGCAATAAAAACGATTTTACTGCACACTTCGATTTGTTCGATATCATAGGTGCCTTCATTCGAGTACAAGACATCATCTATCGCATAAACAATCGAGGAGATTTCAATAAATTATAGGTATAATTAGGCATTGTTAATAGTCCTAGTAAACTGGAATGTACATACGTGAGGCTATTAATTGTTAATTTTTTTGCATTGAGCAGAAGCTTAGTGAATCTCTGTTAGATCTCAAGGCGACATCACAATCAGTACAGAAATAGGTACCCAAATATGAAGATGACGGAGAAAACGCTCATTGTGAGAGCATGCACTGCAATAAACGCGGCCGTCCAGTCCTGCAATGGAAAACTCGAATTCGGTAAACCCAGGTAAGATTATATAGTAACTCAGGTTTCTAAACCCACTTTTTGGTAATTTCCGGCTGGTGCTTTTTCACTGTCCTCATCATCGTCTGCGGAGTGTGTCTGTAGCACGCACAAGAAGCGATTAACAAACGAGGAAAGCCTAAAATGATCTGTTTTGGTTAACATCGCGAAAGCTCGAGGAATTGATTCACTGTGTAAGTTGTCCCCATGGTGGTAGTTCTCGTCGGATTCTCGTGCATGCCCATAAAAAAATAGATGCAGCTAAGGAAAGACCGTTTAAAGTAACAGAGAACTCCAGAAACCGCACTGAAATCTTAGCGTTGTTGTTATTGCCTCAGAGAAGTGAAGAGGGAAAATAAGAGCGACTGACAAAGTTTAGGAGTCGCTGCTGCACTTCCAAGATGTGGCGATATTCTGTTCGAGAACAGTAGGAATGTCAAAAATTGCAGCATAAGTATAAAAAACTTGGCGCAAATCTACAAAAATATCAAATACACTGCTGAATTATCACACGTAATACGGTTTGTTCATGCACCTGTATTTTGATCACACCAAGGAAAGGAGTGAGTAGAAATAGCAGTGCACACACCATCATTGGCACTGTTAGTTCAATACGAACTGATGAGGACGATCTTTGTAGGTTCAAGCAGAAACCAAGCTGGAACGAAGCCTAATCAGTCTATTATATGACAAGAACACTCTCACCTGCGCCACCTGCGCTGGATCCTCCAAGCTCTGCGGTACGGTGCCGGACACCTTCCAACCGTAGTCTCGGAAGTATTTTGGATCAGTGAAAATAGGTAAACCTGACGTGTCGAACTCGATAATGTCCTGAAACATACTAATTCTTCTGAAGAAAATAAGCTCGAGAAGAACGAACGGGGTTGGCTTGCGGTTCGAGGCTGAAGCAACATTTGTAGACGTCATCTGGGTAGTTTTCGAAGTCAGAATCGTCGCAGAATGATCGCAGAGAAAATGCCAGCACAGCGGAAACATTTCCGCTTGAAGAGGTTTCTACTCGTCTCATGTCGAAAGCGTCGCCATTTTTCAAATGAGTTTCATAACTGGAAAGGGGTAGATCTACTAGAAACGATTTTTACTGCATGAGACGGCTTGCTGCAGTTGAATGCGCAAGCAAAGATTTCTGTACTTTTGAGAGATAAGCAACGGAATCCAGATGTGGCTTAGACTTTGTATTTGAAGTTTTTCCAACTTCCATGTATCACGGCTCCATTTCAAACGATCGTCCATCCAGGAAAGTTCCATGTATCCATGTATTGCTATGTCTTTGAGGAATTCGTTCTAAACCAATTATCTAGCAGCATCAAAGTTTGTTGATCTAACCAAAAAGTCTGATGTCCAACCAGTTCGAAGTGCTGAAGGGTAATTTGGTTGAATTTGATGTTTACAGGTTGACGGCTCAGGTAGTTCGGAGGGACGGAGGCGATCGGATGTGGAATCCCAAGCCTGTAAATATATTTGACAAATACCGGAGCAAGTTTTGGAAGTAACTAGTTGCAACGGAAGATATCTGTTGTCTAATTTTTTGATACCTTGCAGGGTATACTTAGCTCTTTAATGGAGCAAGAGAATTATTTATATCTTCAAGCAAGTGGTGCAAGTGGAACTTGGATTACCTGGCGCAATTAATCACAACTATCGTTGTTGCACACCTCAGAAAAGGTGAGGCCACATTATTGAAACTCAATGCTCAACTATATTAACTAAGTTGTGACATGGTATCTGGCAGAATCTTTCGAAAATCTATCTGTTCTAGTGAGCAACCCGTGACAGCGCAGCAACGGAGAAGGACCTCTTGAGCTGCACTTAGTTGAGTCAAGATCAGAAATGGTTAGTTTGAAGATTGTGCACATTATTACTATATGGAACAGCAGGTTTTTTGAGACTGTTTCTCTGTCCAATCACACACTTTTTCATTTGCTTCGCACTTTCGCCTGCCAAGTAGTAGTACAGACATTGCTCCAAAGACGCAAACTCGTGAGCGCGAAGATTTTCCACACCTTAAGAAAATATTTTGTTTTTATAATGCAAGTTTCTTGATGAACATACTTGTCAAGTTCTGCAGCATGTACTGACATGGATCAAGTTCATCTGTAGAAGTTGCACGGGCCTAAATAAAAGATAAAATATGATACGATGGTTTTTACGGAAATAGGTAATTCAAGAGTCCTAAACCACTATAATAGAAAAACAGCGTGTAGAATGTGGACTAAAATCTTCAGAAAGTACGTGTCAGGGACAAGAGCTGAAACGCAAACTTCTGTGTTGCTAGTCTTTAACTTACTTGGAACAGTGCCGACGGTGGATTAAGGATTTGCGGTCCCTTTGTGAGATCAGGCCGGATTGTGAATGCTATTGGAAGCAGAAGGCAAAACACCGGCCTTAGCATCCTGTAAGGACAATTGGATATCTAACTGGTTTTTAGCTTATGCGATCATGTTGTCTTTGGGCGGAGTATGCAGTGGATAGTAGCGCAATATAAATAAATCTCAAGGTGCTGCTTCACATTACTGGTGAAATTCTAAAAAATTCAAGAATGGATGCTCAGAAGATTTTGGTTTGTGGTGTTTACACGCTCTCTCTGCGAACACGTCCAGGGGATAAAACGCGAAAAAATTCATAACACTTCCTGACTTCGCCTGGAAAGATTTGTGGCGTTGCTAATGAGGCGTATCGGAGCAAAGTGGATCAGCAATTCTCAAGCCTCGGCTACATCTGGTTTTAAACCTCTGATCAAAGCTGCTTATTACAACACGAACACGTTTTGCTTCCTGTGTTGTTACGACACATTTTATCCGGATAGTCTCTACAGTGCGAAAACGATGTCCCGTTAACACGTCAATCAAGTTATGTTTACAACGTGGGGCGGGGGGTGGAGAAAGTGAGTTTCATCCAAGGTTGACAGGATAACGATTTTCCGCATATGCACACGAAATTCGTGAAGAACGGCAGGCGTAAGGCAAAAGACAAGTGAGGCAGAAACCCAGAGGGAGCTGATCCATGTCAAGTCAGCCATCAAACCGGCCATCTCGCAACAGCTTTAGTTGCCGGCAGGAATTTGCACAAGCTGGACTGCATACGAGTGGACAGGTCCTTCCGCTGTTGACACTTATATCTATGTCTTGAGTTGCTCAGTGGTTCCGCCTAGTTTTCTTTTCTACTGAAAATCCAGACAGGCTCCACTTCTAGAGGATTTTCTTCAGCTAAGCAAGTGAATGAATTCAGGAAATCTCCAAGATGTTGATCTTTGCGTCTTTTTCTGAAAAAAAGAAGTGCAAATCATCACAGTTATCTTGTTCCGCGAGTCTGTTTATTATGAGTAGTAAGAGTGTGGGTTGACTCCATCTCCGGAATTAAATATATAAGAAGGGGTTTATGGAATCTCAGAAGCGACTGCATGCAGTCTTAAGGGCCGGGCATATTCACGCGATTCCAGTCGTGACGCGACTTGGCTATTCGCCAGAAGTCTTCAGATACAACACTAGCAAACTGCACATGAATACTGTGTATAACTTCTTACGTGGATTGATGAAATGCCTTATCTTCCCTACATCTAAAATATGCTTATAGTGAGTTATGAACAGTTGGAATATTGCCAAATCGCCTCGCGACTGAAATCGCGTGAAGTATGATTGGTCCTTTACAGACCACAGAGGTCAGTTTCTGTGACAGCAAGGGAGAGCCTTTGCGTTGTGTCTTGAATGCGGGCAGCCACGGAAAAGACATAGCTAAAGATGCGAAAAGCGATCCGTAGAAAAAACAACAATGACAAATAGGCAAATATAGCTGCATTTTTACTGCAGGTATGGGTATTTTCTGTCTGTTATTTCCTGCATTCCTTGACTTCAAAGTTTTTAGTTCTACTATAAAAAATTTGATTGATGCGGTGGAAAGCGAACGCGTCTTTTCTGTAACAATATGTAAATGATCTAGCATATCTAAAATATGTCAAAGAAATCAAAAGGAGAAATTGTTTGAGTTATTATAGTGAAGTTGAACTAGCGTATTGTGCAATGTGGGAATCATTTCACAAGATTAAAAAATGGTGATGGCTATCAATTCAGCATTACATCCACCGGCGAACGCGACATTCATCAGCGGTAAAGGTTAACGAGGCATCATAGCAATCCAGCTTCGTGGTGAAACGCGCATAAAACTAGCTGAGAAAAGAAACATGCATGTTAATTTACATAAAACAAATTATATAAGATTTAGGTGACGATCAAGTGGAGCGTGATGAGCGCTACGACAAGATAGCGCAGCTAACGATGGACCGGCTTTTTATGCATCATAAGAGGGTGCTACCACATCCGTGTCTGCCTGGCTACTTTGGACAAGCTAATTGGTGAAAAGCCACAGCCGGGGGGAAGAAGGGATCCTTTTACAGTGAAACGATGCACACTCGATTGTGTCGGCCAGGTACTTTCTAGTTCAGAGAAATACAGTTGAGAATGAATGGTAATTGGGGTTGAAAAATTTTTAGTAAATCGCAACCGCTTGCTTTTGAACAAGAGTTTCAGCTTCCTACACTGGCTGGTACAAAAAAACTGTCAGACGAGCTCCTAAAAATTTGTCTGCAGCGAAGGGTTCCAAGCAAGAAGTTGCTTGAAACTCGTTTATGAATAAGAATTTTGGCGTCCACAGATTCGCGGAATTCAACCACAAATATCCTTGGTTTAATTGCTTTGTTGTGGACCATACTCTGTTCATAATGATAGAAAAAGGCATTTTTTCTACTGCTGCTATGGTCTTTCTTACAATCACGCTCTCAGCTTTGCCAGAGAGGACTACTATGCCTAATAAAGCGATTTTTGCAACAATTCGAAATCGGTGAGATGAAAAGAAGGAAACAGTAATTAGCACATCTCAAATGCAGAGTTCGCTAATAGAAATCTCTCATCCGCGAAGATTTTGCACGAACCCGGTATCATTTTTTATTAACGTGGTGGCATGACATTTACAGCTTTCTTGCAGAGCACCTTATACGAAAATGAACTCACAAAATCGGGTTTAGCCGAACCAGAGAGTGACGGATGGTATGCGCAGACAACGTGCAGGTGAAGATTATATACAAGTTTGATTTCGTTTTCCTCCCGGGAAAAAGGTGGTCATTTAAGCGTTTGTGCATCATTTGCTAGATAGATTGTGTTCTCTCAAACAAACCTGTGCTTCGTAGAATCACCACTTTTCAGCTGCCACCTCATGAAAATACCTAGTCTGTTTCGTCATTTCTTATATATCACGGGTTCTTTAGAGACACTTATAGCAAGCCTGTTTTTGTAAGGCTACTCTTTGATGCAAGAAGCTTGCCGAAATCTTCTTTCCGAGTTTTGTAGAAGACAATGCGCAAATAGATGTTATCAAAATGATATTATTTCTTTCTTCTGCAAGATTGCGTACCAGTGTTGCCAGTCTAGTAAAGAGCATACTTGATCAGCTGCAAGCGTTTATAAGCCTTTTCCGATGTACCATTCTTCTCCACCGTCAACGTCGTAACTCTTCTGGAGTGATAATTTATTATTTTGCTACACCGCTCCTGCATTTTCAAACTCAACATTCAGGATTTCACAATTCAATCATGAATATGTTATCCAAAAATATGTATGTTTATATGCCCCTCAAAAGTAAACTGGAATTAAATATATGATCAATCTGGAGCTTACTTTCCTCCATCGCGTTAGAGTCAAATCTCGCAGAAAAATAATTTGGGAAAGTTCTGGAGTGTACTGGATGTAGAATCACATATGTACTGGATGTAGAATCACATTTTTGAAATGACCAAAATGAAAGCAGACCCTTGGAGGAGCGTTCGAATAAGAAAGAGATCTGTATAGTAATTTTTTGTTCACATATCAAGTTCCCCAATGTCAACAAACGACTACCTGATAGAGCAAAGCTTTCCTCGGAGACCTTGGGATTTATTACTCTTAAACTCTTTTAAATATTCTTATTAAACTCCCTTATCAAATTTCTGATGAAGATCGGTTCGGCTCGGCTTAATGCATTATGGGTTAGTGACTCTATTCTAAATGAATTTGAAGAGACTTTTTTGTGAAAAACCTGCAGCTTTGAAAGCTGTTTGAGAAATATGTTACGCACAGCTTGCTTTTTCAATGCATATCAAATTTTGCGAAGTCATCTACTGCGTAAAAGCGAGAACGAGAAGAATAGAAAACTTTCGGTGTGAGCTATTGTTTTGGAATCACTCAAAAAAGAAAATGTGAGAGGTGAAATGAGATCAAAGAAAAGATACCCTTAATCAGTTTCTTGCAAGCGCTTCTCCTCAAAATCAAAACAAAAAAATGTTATGTGGAAACTGAATTCTAATAGAGCAATTAACGAGGTTTCCAGCACCTACAAGCCCGCCGAAAAATTGAAGATTTCTGACAACGTCTGTTCAACAAACCTAGGTTTGGCAAACTTTTTCCAAAAAAATCATTTGGGAGCTAACTCTCAACATAGGAGGATGTCGTGGGGAAATTTTAAATTCTCTTCTATTGTCGAAAGGGAAGCGATATTTTTATCCACGCTTAGAAAGTAAAAAGTTGCGCTTTTTATTAGGTTGTCCCATAAGTTTTTTCATATTCGGACCTTCAATTCGATTTTTCTCAGGAACTACAGCACCTAGTAGGCTGCAAATTTTTGGCAGTAATTCTGAGCGAATAAGCTATATAATCACCTACTTGCGGGGAATACAGAAGTGATACAGGCAAAGTTTGCAAATTGAGCGCATTATTTTTTTTTTGGTTTCTAGCCATCAGAAAAATGCAGCAAGTGCATTTATAAATATCCGATGAGGAGGGTATATGCATGAAAAAATAGGAAATTTGCAGAGCTGTTTTGAACTGAGATATGATGATTTTCGTTTTTTCGGAAATTCGGGAAATTTTTTTATTTTGGCTTGGAGCATGTTGCGGATTGGGCTTGGTGCGAACTTTTGAACGCCATCTTCTAGAGCTTACTTTGTTCTGTCGAATGGTACCCTGCAATTTATCAGGAGTTCAAGAAGAACGGATTTATGTCGTTGAAAAATCAGGTATGAAAAGACTTGTGGGACAACCTAATAGATTTCAGACTGCTTCTGAGATAGGACAAGTAAATTTAGGAATTTCCTAAGAGATTCATCGGGTACATAACAACTTACAAATGATGAGGACGCGGGAAAATATCGATCTTTCTCCTAGAAACGGGAACGACGCAATAATTTTCCCTGTGTGTGGGAAGCGGAAATCCCACTTCCTAGATCCTATATGTTTCTTAAATTGGACAAACAATTTTCAAAATTTTTCAAAAACTTCATCAAGTATACAAAATACGAAGGAGTAGACGTGGGAGAACTTTGTTTTTTTGTCCTAGTATCGAAAAGATGCAATAATTTTTGCTTAGAAA